TGTTTTCAATAGTAGAGGTATTTCGAACTACTCTACTATTACTATTGTTGGAAATTACAACAATAAAATTTTATTATTTATTAATTAATTGAATTTTTGGTTGACCATACAGCTGTTTCGAATATTGCCAAATACCCATCATCAGTGATCTTGGAATTATTTCTTATATTTAATTATTCGTAAATAATTTTTTTTTTGATACTGCAAGTACAAAAAGTGGGACTCATGACTTGCCAAATTTAAGGCTCACAATCAGTGTTCATTAGCCGATTGACCCAAAGCCGTACTTGACTTGTATGCTCGAACTTTAAAGTTTATGTTAATTTGCTGTGAAAGTTCTTATTTTATATAATATTTAATTTTTATATATCAATTATGTTTAAAATTTAGTTATAATCTGATTAGTTATTTAATAAATTCATTTTTCAATGAATTAAAAAAATTATTGGAAAATATAATTTTTAGTATAGAAGAAAAATGTTAATATTGACTTTGCTGAAACTTAAATACAATTCCCACAGATTTATTAGAAACTCATTTCGATGGAACAAAACAGCTCATTTCCAATTAACTTTGATAATGTTGATTTAAAAGACAATTATATTATTAAATACAATTGATTTATTGCGCTCTTAAAAATTACTATCCTTGTACAGTGCTTTAAAGCGCATGGCTAACAGCTATAAGTCAATCAAAATCAGAAATTAATAAAGATTAACTTAATTAAGATTAATTAATTTAGTTAATTAAGATTAAAGTGACGACAGTAATAAAATAAATAAGAAAATTGGCATTATTACGATTCCGCTACAATTTAATGATAAATTTTTATCTATATAAACATTGACATACAGATAGAACTTCTAATTGTTGTTTTTTGTGTGATCAATATTAAAATTTTATGTACTTTAAATTTTATAATTAGCGTTAGGTAAAGTGTTAATTATTGTTTGTGTAATCAATGCCGCAACTTTACAAGTTTAAAGTCTAATATCACGAAAACCAAACTATGTTGAAATATGGGGCAGTAAAAAAAGTTGCTTAAAATACCAACTGACTGATTTAGCAAAATCAGTTATAAAATGAGATGCTAAGGAAAATTGTAATCATTTTAGAAAATCAATTGAAAGTCCCTGGTTAATCTGTGATATAAAAATCTATTGATGTTTAAACAAGTCGAATTTCTTAATTCTTTAAAGTACCACTACAAATATTAATTTTTAATATTTAATATTAAAAAATAATAATTGACGATTTATCAATTATCCAGTCGAATTTTTATATTTTTTGAAGTACCATCATAAATTTTATGTTTTAAAATTTATTTAAAATGAATTGTTTTATTATATTTTCTATCTGTCTAAATATATTTATATATTGTATATACTTAATAGGTAACGGTGGCGTATTCCAACAAATAGACTTTGCAGGATCCGCAAGGATGAAGATAAAATAGAATCCATTAATCACTTTTATGTGACCATTTATTCACTGACCCATAGGAGTTCTACTTAACTTTATAAAAGACTAAATGGTTTAATAAGAACAATAACAGGAAATCGCAATATTTCGAGCATTCCAATAGATAATAGATGTTTTCGAGTGAAAGTACTGACAGTTATACAAGTAAACGCCTTCAACACCTAATTTCACCTACATCATAGAATGTATTTAAGTGGACATTGAATCAAATTTAATCAGATGATCAAAGTTATTTGAGCAAATAAGACATCACTTTTTCGTTGACTATGAAGAATGCTTAAGTGCTAAAATATAGAAAATATTCTATAAAAGAAAAACAAACAGACAAGATTTGAGGTTTTATTACTTTGAAGACTCGTTCTAAAGGCCAGGGACATAGCTAGTTTTATTAGATATTTAGAAATTAAACCGTTTATTACAATTTATAATAGAAACGAAAAAATAATTTATGACGAATAATACTTGTTTTCAACAGTAGCTGCGGTATGAAATATTTAACATGTTTTATATCTTATATATCTTAACGAAAAAAATTTTAAAATTTAATGTACAAATTTTGTTTGCATAGCAACTGATTCATGTATATACATTCAAAAGACATCACATATGTGAACCGAAAATGGGTTATTTGAACTTTGATTTACCTCTTCTGTTATGTGAATTATAAATATTATTACTCGTTATGTTTGATGATTTCTTTAAAAAATTTAGTAATTGACTCTATACCTATAATTAAAATTATAAAATGTGTATTAAATATAAAAAGACAATGATTTTCTAATGTCGTCATTGAAAATTTTGCATAATTTTTTTAAATTATACATATAATAATCTTATATACTATCTACTACTTTATATACTAGAGCACTGTACACTATTTCTGTTCATACGAACGTTTGAATGTGTAAATGTATGGTGACAAGGGAAAGCATTATTTAACAATTTGTTTTATTTTTATATATTCGTATGTACTTATATATTTCATATTTAAAATATGCATTTTTTACGTATACCATATAAGACATAATAAACCAAATATCTATTTTTGCATTAAATCCAAAAACACAATAAACCACAATTAAAAATTTAATATACTATATATTTATGTGAAGAATGTTTGGGTAGTTTTAGGATTTAAATAGTGTTCTTAACAAAATGAGTTCACCTTGTCTGAGAAATACATAAGTACATATACAGATAAATTGGCGCTCTTAGCTTTTCGCTGTGTTTATTAATAAATATGAAGATAATAAATAAATAACATTGATAAATTATTTACTAATCGATCATTGCGTAAATATCGTAATAACTATATTTCCGCCTCAACTAATCATTGTTCAGATGATTTTATAAAATTGTCCGCAATATTCACATGTTTATAATTATATAATTGTATAAGTTTAATTTATATTTCCTTACATAATAATTGTATATTCAAGAACACAGTTAAGGAACAGTATAACAGTAATGACATAGAATTGTTTTTAAAATAACTCAGTTCCACTTATTCTGTGTATAAATATTAATATGAACCAAAAAATTTATGTTGATAAAATGAACAATTTAATATTATTGTACATAAAAAAAAACATACCTTCGAAATAAATCTACCAACAGGATAATAACCTGAAACAAAGCAGGCATCCTGGTAAAAATATTATTCGAAGTCAGTAAGACTCAGGCTATAACGTGTCCAAGTCAAAGTCTTCATCTGTATTTCATAGAAAACTTATTATACATAATACAATTCTGATTTTTTATATTAGCTAAATACTTCTATTATTGTGAACACAGAGTTTATTTTTTTCTCATCAAATATATCTTAAAATAAATACTATAATTATATTTTACAGGATTATCCATTTTGTATTTTTGAAAATAAATGTAAATAAAACATATTTTCCAATTTTCCGAAATTAAATAAAATTTTAATTTATTGGTTGGGGGTTACTATCAATTGTAAAGTACATGATTAAAATGTCTTTAGCGGGGTATCTTATAGTACTGGATCGGTTTGAGGTAATTTTCGAAGACTTGTCAATGCAAATATAGCAAAAGCATCGAGAGTGTGTTGATAAAATGGTCCAGTGATTACTTATCACATTATCTTGATGACCAATTGAATTAAATTGACCGAGAAATCTCTGACGCAGAAAAGTGTAAACTGGACATGTTATGTTCAATTTATCTTTAATATTTATATTTTTAATTTTACTCAAAAAAAAGTGTAATATGACTATAGTGATTAAAATTGATTAAGTTGATTTAACAATTTCATTATTTTTTTCAAAATACGGGTCTATAGCATATGATGATTTGGATGAAATATATATATAATATAATAAGTTATATACTATAATACAATATAATATTTATGTTTTATATATTATAAATTATTGAAAATGTTAATTTTGTAAATGTAAATATAACCTAAATTTAATAAAGAAATACTACTACTACTACAATATAATATAACTTATATATATATATATATATATATTTATATATAATATAATATAATAATATAAATGCAATATAATATATATATGTTTGTTTCTAGAACTAAATCCGTGTTTGTTAAAGCATTTTAGAAACAAGAAATGATATCTTGCACAGACTATACGGTGACTAAACTAGAAATTCCTTGTCAAATTCAAAAAATTTTCTTACAACGATTACAAATATATGCATCTATATATCGCTTTGCTGGATGGTTACTTTTAATATTAAAAATATTTTTACAGATATTTTATATCCTTTAAGCCATAACGTGACTTTTGTGCTCTTATTTAACAAGTTTTTGGTACTATTAACAACCACTTTAATTCTTTCATGTATATGAGGTAAATTAAACTTGGTATACTTCTCGCAAGTAAATTGAAAAGGTTAAGTCCTGATTGATTTAAATTCGCCAAATTACTAATTTTTTATTTGTTTATAGTTGAACATCAAATATTTTAACGAATAAAGAAAAATATCACGATATATGATGTTCCAGTATTTGTTAACTCGATACTGCAATAGTTTCACAAAAACAAATTATATAAAATTTTGACCGAATACCGAGCTGTCAAGCTCAATTTGAACTGCTATTACTTTACAATCGCACAATCACAATTGCTTCATAATATAATATAATATAATATAATTTAATAATACTTATTATATTATACAAATATTTATTATATAGTATAACATTGGAAACATTGGAATATAGTGTTAAATATTTTATATTTGGTAATGACTTTTTTAATATTAAGTCTGTTCTACGAGCTACTCATAGTAAAACTCAAGTAAAACTTTCACGAAAATACACGAAAATTTGCTGGTGAAACACATTTGTGTATACAGAATGTTAATCAAAGTTACTACGAGTAGGTCGTGGAACAGACCTATTATGCCTAAGTACGATATACTTGCAACGTGTAACAATTGGTATCAATTTTTGACATCTATTTATGTTTGCCTTTTTTTATCTCTCACTTATGTTTCACTGTTTTCAAACGTTCCATAATATCGTGGTTGAACGTGTTGTGTATTTTTATTGTCACACAGAATTTTGTTATTAATTTAAATTTTATACCGGCATAATGGAGAATAATTTATCTGAAAGTTTAGATGATTTATTGCAGGTTTTTAAAAAAGTACATCGCATAAAGTTAGGTGGTAGCAATGAGGTATGTAAACCATTATACAATCTTTTTATTTTTGAAGCCAATGTTAAAAACAAATTTTAATACCTTTCAATCCTTGTTAGTGGAATGTGTTTTTTTACTGTTTAACCTCATACGGATATTGTTTGTATTATAGCATATATATTTATATTTCGAATGGATACATTTAAAAATCTACATTAGCGATTAAATTCAATGAAAAACATCAGCTTAAAAATAAATTAAAGACATTTTTTTAAATAAATAATATAAGATAGCTCCCTTCGAACACGGACGGTGGCATTAGCACTACCGACTTTAGATTTATTATACATTTGCACTAAAGTTGTATTCATCTATAGAGTTATTTATTGTACAAAAAATGTTAAAAAATTTTACACAGAAAAGTTAAAAACAAACACTTAAAGTAATCTAGTATTAGATTTACGATTTTAATATATTTTTACAATATACTTAACTAAATAAGAGGCTTGTTTTCGTTGTTCACACATTTTCTTTTTGGTACCGTTTAAGGGTTTAGTCAAAACCCATTAAGTTTCCGGTCAGCAATACAGTTTGTGTTGAATAATATTCATCTAAACCAGAGCTGTCCAGGCCAGATGTGATCGTGGGCCAATACAAATCAGTGTACAGATTGAAGGGCCGCAGAAGCAAATAAATACATTCATAGTTGTTTTTAATTGTGGTATATTAAAAACATGTCGCGGACCGCACTTAGACAGCCCTGATCTAAACCATACAATGACAACAAATTTTTTGAACAAATTATCAAAATTGATATATAAAAATTTTTTAAAATAAACTTTTTTTTTAGCCCGAATCTCATTCAGAAAAACTCAAAATGACTGTTAATATGTTCGGAATGATTAAAAAATTAAATCGTGAAATCAAATATAACGTAAGAGAAGGTCGCGTTAATTTAGGTGCACAAAAGCAATCAGTCGACGGCAGTCTTTTACATTTACAAAATTTACTGTATGAAATAAATCATTTAAAAAAACAAATTCGTCATTGTTATGAATTTAAAAGTCAGGATGAAGATCTTGATTTGCTAGAAGATGTAAAATCCGACAAATTAACTTCAAATCACAAGGAACGTATTGCTTGTTTGGAAAAAGAATTACAGTTAAGAAAAGAATTGTCGGGAAATTACAAAGAACTTTTAAACAGAAGAGAAGAAGTAATCGGAAATATAAATTTAAAACATGAAAAGTTTTCTCTATTTGCACCTTCTCTACAAACGTTACTTAAAGCTACAAAGCCATTACATGAAGCATTAGAAATGAACTTAGATGTGGAATGGAAGTTGGGTAAATTAGTCCACTTACTTCCTGAACCTCTATATTTGGCTTATATTAATATATATTTTATAAAAATGGAACCAAATTCAAATGTGAATCTAAGTATTAGCGGCACTGAAGAAGATGCATTTAATTCGCACCTTTCATCTGAACTAAATTCAATAAGAAAACAAGACGCTAACATTTCACAATCTTCAAATCTGAATAACGATGATGATATTTCGACATCAAATATACATATGGAGCCACATCCACTTGCAGTTTGTTTTACGGTAAAATAATATATATTATATATATGTATATATCACTATATTTAAAAATCATCTTGTTTTAGATAGGGGATTTAAAAAATATAGACGAATGTTTCACAGTTACACTAAGATATTTCGATACGTTAGGAGTTATGACAGCAAATTCTGAAATTAATTACAATAAAACTGATGAAATTGTAAGGTAAGGTCAACAAGCATTTTTTAAATTGTTTTTAACTTGTTCTTAACTAATTCTAAAAAATATCATACAATATTACAATAAATTGTGTATACAATTTATGTATTCTACAAAAATTATGCATGAGAAATTATTTTATATTATACATTTTTAATGCTTCTTTAGGAGCACTCATCTAAACTAATAAATGCCTTATAAACCTTATAAACGTATAAATTTATCTGCTTGATAAATGAAGTGTCAAATTTTGTATAAAGAATTGTTTACAAAAAATTGATAAATTTACACGGAAATTTTACCGAATTTCGTTAAATTTCTGTATTTTATTTTATAATTTATTGACAACGAAACAGCTGATCCATAAAGTTTGCACAAATATTTAAAATTGCTTCGATATTGGCTAAAAAATTACGCTGTTGTTATTATTACTGATATAAATAGTACTATTATATAGCATACTGATAAATTTACTCAAATATTTCATTAAGTGTACGTAAACGCATAATATTATACATTTCATAAATTTAAAAGTTTAGATGAGTACCCCCTTTTTTTTTTGACACTAGAAGGTAATCCTTTTTTATTTATATTTTATTGGTGCTGATATTTATTACTTAAATTTTTGAGTATTAACTGTTTACGTGAGAGAAGTGAGAGCGTTAATTTCTAATTGCTTTGAATGCAATAAATTTTCAATGAGTGACGTTTTTGTTTTAATAAATGACGTTAATGGCTAAATCATATTTCAAATTAAACAATTGCACAAAATATTTATAAAAATCAAAGTTGGAACTTGTTGTCCATCAACTTCCCTAAATAGACATATTCATCGCCTAACTTCAGTAGTCCTTTTCCAATTAATTAATTATCCAACCCACAACGTGGGTTTGTAACAGAGCATTTTTAAAGAATATTATTTCAGTTCACTGCAATAGCTACAAGGAGTGGTACCACCTTAAATCTTGCTGTGGTTTGATTCCGCACATTGGTTGGAATTATTATTTTGCTCTTGGATCTGAAAGCAGATAACACGTAAAGTTTACAAAATGAATACATGGATTGGGATGTGAATGGGTTGTGTTTGGGGTAAGGGTGTGGGAAATAAAGGCAGTAGGGAGGATAAAGGATGTGCGGGGTGACAATTGAAATCAATCCAGGTCCAAACGAATAAACCTAGTCACTGCAAGAGAGTAAGTCCAAATGTCAATTGGGCTTAAGCACTCACGTACAATTGGATGCACTTAGAGAGACCAGAGAACAGATGGGCGACGTCACGACAAATAATAGTTTAGCACATGGCTATACCCTGATCTCAATTGAACTAGGACAGTAATTCCTGTACGGGGAAGAAGTCGTTCTTCCTGGAAGCATCTGCCGGAGGCCTGTTGAGCACGTTGTTGAGAATCAATCTATGTGGCACGCAATGAGGTATTACTTGGACAACAATTGATAGTGCTCTATTACAAGAAACAGTTTTGATTCCGCATGAAGGTGGTCTACATGAGATAGCAGCCGGTTGCATCAGCAGTATTGTTTTTTGACATGCTTGGAAGTTAGTCAATTGCGTCTCGTTACTGGAGACGCATAGACTGGATTTGCATAGGCCGCTTTAGGACGACCAATTGCTTTGTATGTGCTCAGTAGCATGTATCAACATGCTTTCGAGAACGAACCCAAGATTTTGGGTTTGGTGATGCTGGGGATCTTGAATTCACCGATATAAATGAGCAAAATCATGAATACCTCTTTAGTCGAAAAAGTAAAGAGCGTGGCGGAGGATTTATTTGGTGATAGGTGAAGATTTCTATCAACCAAAAACAATGCTACAAAGGGGAGGTGTACACTCAATTTATTGCACAACATAGAGTGGTCCTGGCCCGTCAAGATTGTGCAGTCGTTTCCATACGTTATGACTCTGAACCCTCGGGGGGGTCTGGGAGTTTATACTTATAAAGATTTAAAAGGGTTGGCACGAAAGATACCGTAGGGAACACCGGAATGAACAATGAATGATCTGCTTATGAGATAATTCCAGAGCCATTGTTTTGTGATGTCAGGGATGTTTGTTTCGGCTAGATCGTTTAACAATGTGCTATGAAAGGCTGTGTTAAATGCATTCGTGAGATCAAGACTTACTAGCACCGTACGTTCGCATGGGCCAACATGAGTGTTAAGATTTTTGATGAGTAACTTTTCAAATAATTGTGATACCACTAGTACAATTCATGTAGATCTATATGAGGTTTATGCAAAGCAAGAAGACTAGATTTATTGGTCTAGGCTGCCTACTTTGTAAATCAATACACAAACAATTTGTGAACTTTTTGTTCGATCTTTAAATATATTGCTGAGGATAGATATTAGCTAGTCGAATGTACTTGATTTTGATGCCAGTTACGACGCAATTTTTATTTTAGTGCAATAGTTTTTCTAATAATCTCTGGACATCTTCTGGTCTTATGTTGATGTTGTGTAAGCTGAAATGTAGTTAATACATATATTTGGCTGTTTTTGTTAAAAAGGTGAAAAAATAACTATCGTACCATAAATCGTTATAATAGTGGTGGTGGACGAAAAAAGCAACATCACATGAAATATTTCAGAAAGTGAAGGGTCGACTTAAACGAAATCGAAGTGAAGAGCAAAGGAGTTGTTATGCTTATACGAACTTAACGAATTTCCAAACATTGTGTTCTCTGATAAGAAAATTTTGAGTTCATAAACTCTCAAAATGATCGAGTTTGATCGCAAATATCAAACTATGAATGGCCACCCGAAATAATTTTCCATCTCAAGTAATGGTATGGGTAGCTGTCACATCCAATGAACGCTATCCAATCGTTTTCATCGAGCCTGGTGCCAAAGTCAAAGCGTTTTTTATTGGAAAATTGTTTTGAAAGTTGCTTTAGAGCCGCGGCACGCGAATATTTCAGTCGTAGATCAATGACTTTGCAGCAACACTCGACAGCGTCTCAGAAAGCTCGCGTGAACCAAGAATGGTCAAAAAATTATGTTCCACACTTTATTTCGTCCACACAATGGCTTTCGAATTCGCCACCGTCTCATAAAGCTCGTGAGAACCAAGAATAGTTAAAAAATCATGTTCCCCATTTTATTGCGTCCGCACAATGGTTTTCAAATTCGCCAGATGCAAATCCGATGAACTATACCATTTTGGAGAGCAAGGTGAGGACTAAAAAATATGCCAGTATGAATGCGCTGAAAAAAAGCTATTTTTCAGGAATGGGCCAAAATATCAGAAGATTACATTCGTGAAGCATGCCACTCATTTTTTAACCGTTTGAAGGTCATAGTTAGTATAAAACGTGGCCACATCGAGCTAGATTGAAGGAATTCTAAAATTTTGATTATTTCCATAAAATTTGGTAATTAATCATTAAAAAAATAATTTCACACTAAAACGATATGATTACTTGAACACTTCAATCGCCTAACCCTGTACAAACAACACACAATACGTCATCAGGTTTCAGCTTCAATTCATTTGCTTCAGTTCTATATCTCTAGGTGTAAATAGAGCTTCTTTTATTTCTAAAACTAAAAATTCTATTATAACCAAAAACAACTATAATTATATTATAATATCTTGTATAATTTTATCATTATTATTTCTTTACAGAGAGATATCTTCAGCAAGTAATATTTTAGATGTTGTGTCTAATAATGATGGAGAGACAATTCCGTCATTTGAAGTACAACGAAAGGTGAGTACAAAAAAAAACAATAAATAAGTAAATAATAAGTTTTTTAATTTCTATGTAATTTAATTAGTTAAAATCGTTTCAAATAAACCCAACAAGTTGGCTTCAGAATTTGCAAAAGAAAGGGTATGGAAAGCCATATAAATGGCTTCAAAAAATGTGTTACATAAGAGTTAATGGCATTCAAAATTGGGAAGAGCAAAAAACTCTTAATGTTATATCCAACGTTATTAATAAAATAAAAAAGCTTTGGCAATGCAGATTAATACTTTTTACCCAATTAAAAGCTATTGTAAATAATAAAATATTTTTATATACTGAAAATGAAAAATTACCTCCGGGTGAACCGTCGTGCAGTTTAGTGAAATGGACATCCATTGACCAAGAAGACTATTATGCTTCATTTGTAGACAAAACTAATCAAGATTCTGATGTAAAAGATTCCAATTCATTCTATCGCGCATTGATTGTTAAAGGGTCAGCTAAAATGGAATGCCTTATTAGCTTACCCCTGAAATTTCCCTTCGAAAGTCCTCTATGGTCAATAAATATATCTTGGAATGGTCAACATAATGCAACCAATAATTCAGCCATAAAGGTAAATCATTTTACATTTATAATATAAATTTTATATGATATTTATTAAAATATGTTAAACAAAATCTTAACAAAACAAACTGTACCTCGTATGTATTGTTAAATATTCTGTATGATAAGTAACTAGCAGACATCTGTAGCCTGAACTAGAATATGACCGTAAATTTTTGCTTTCATAGATAATTGTAAGAGTGCTGATATGTGGAGATTTATTGATTATAATATTAGGGGTATTCAGGCAACAGATTAGTTGCTTAGTTGATTAAAAAACTTTATATATAAAAAAAAAAATACATTTTGATGTTAATCTGTTGCTTGAACGACCCAAAATGCGTAATCTGATTAGTTTGTTGTGTGCAAATGCCTTGGCAGCACTCGTATCAACAGAAAAAGCGAAACATATGTTAACAAGTAAAATACTCAAATATTCGTAAATTTTAATATCATTTAAATTTATCATATAATTTATCTTATCTTATCATATAACTGAAATTGCAAGCGTGTCATATATCAAGAAGTAGAATATTCAATTTTATACTTTTTATTTATATTTTATCCCTTTACCGATTATACTTCTACTGAATTTTATTTATTAATTTATGTTTTTATTTTTGAATTTTTTTTTAAGACATCCTATGCTCATAGCGCCGACACTTGGTACTAGCAGCACTATTAATCAAATTTTCACTAATCTGAGAGTCTCCGAAATAGTAGATTCTCTGCTTAGTTTCTTCTTTGTATGCAAATTGTTGTTGTAAAAATCTAGTAAGCAACTAATCTGTTACCTGAATACCCATATTATTGTTATAATCATTCAGCCTATATCAGTATGTAAACCTCTCATCGATAGTCGATGTCAGAAAGTTCTACTAGTTGCAATTATCGTTGTAATAAAGATATAAACATGTGGATAGTTTCAATGAAGTGAGTCTACTTGCTAATATAAAAGCAAAAAGTCGAAACAACCTAATACTTTAGTCTTAATATACTAAAATTTTGGCTACTAATTAAGCCAAGGTGTGGCCGAACAATTATTTCATTGGCAATGCATGAAAATTTGGGATCAGCTTTTCTTTCAGGCATAGCATTACTACCGCCATTTAGTAGGTTCGAGAAATGATTCCTCCTAATATTAGGTATGCCGTAGATATCTATAAAATGTTTACCATTTTTATCTTCATAAAAATTAATTCTGAACTCATAAATATTTGTCAGGCTTTTGATTTTTTTATTCAATTTTCGAGCTATATACTATTACACAGTTTTATTTATCCCTCAGTTCAATGAACTTTTCGTACTCACGACTTTCTACTTACTTTGTGGCCTGAAAAGACTTTTCTTTTCCTTTCGCTTCTCTTTTTCTGATATCGTATTTTAGCAGTATGCATCGCAACTGACTGAAGGGTAGCTTGGTCTGCTGCGTGTTTCACTATGGTAGCGCCGTGAAACTCCTGATATATCAGTTAGTTCTTTAGCAAAGATAATAGCCAATTACTGCAAGTTTGTGAAAATTTCTCCAGATTCAATTATGAAAGACATTGAGAGAGTCGAGTGGCAAAGTTATCACCTGTTTATTGAGATTGCAGCTTTTTGATGTGCTTAACGTACAATTGCCTCCGCTCATAATTTTCAGTAGAATATAGCACACAAAATAGCAAATGCTGAACTAATATATTCCGTTTTCAGGATTTTTATTATATACCGTCAGTAATCCTTTAACCGTCTTAGCACTAATGCCTATTTCAACTCTTTTGTCCTGAAGACTGCTTAGTTCCGAAAGGGGAATTAATGTTTCGCATATTTTCATGGCATGCTGTTATACAGTTATTATTAATTAATTTTATTAATACAGTTATTGTCATCGCATAATCTAAAACCCTATATCCGGATTGTTTCAATATTTTGAATTCGCCTTTATTTTCCACAAGATGGGATGAGGAACACACCCTGTGGGGTGCAGCGCTAGGGCATACGTTGTTGCAGGCGCCCTGGGCTTAAAGATCTATATAATCCACTTAATTTAAATGTCGATAACTTGACAAGGTGTAGGGCTGTCCACATTCCATAGTAGAGGCTAGTGTTGTACCAGCGACCATTATGAACCTCAATACAGTCGCAGGCTTCATGGGTACATTTGGGAATTTTGTATATTCAACTGGTCTCACACAAAATTTCTATATTGCAACAGAAATTTCTTCAAAATACCCTTTTTTGCCTACCTTTTGCCGCAATTAAATTTTATTTGCTTCTGTTTATATGGGGCCCAGTATCCTGTAGCTTTAACTCCAAGAGTTTTGCAAAGATCTACAATCGTCGAATTGTTCATAAAGGTTTGGATCTACCCCGAAGTTTGGACGGTTTCCGGGCCGCATTAATGGCAAACGTAAGCGCAGTTACGATTAACAGGAGAAGCCAACTGCATGCTGGAGTTAGGATGCACCAGAAAACGGATAAGTTGGAACGTTTTTTTTTTTTTCATTTGTTCGGATAACCTATTCATTTCAAAATTTAATGTTTAGTATGTGTGGTCCGAAAAGGAGCACTCCTGTGATACGTACTAGCTAGTTAGAAGTGTGTAGAATCCTTTCTGATAAGGGTACTTTTCAGAATATAGAGTACTTTCATTCTATTTAAGATCATGAAAGTCTGTTTCTCACATAAATTAAAAATTATTGAATTACCTGCAAGAATGAAATCAAAAAACACTCACCTCGCGTATTGGTACGGCGATACCACATCGTCATGATGTGCATCTGCATCTGCTCCGATATTGACCGGGATCTTTTAGTTGTTTACTTCATCCACTATTGATTATTGATAAGGGGGCGAGTGATTATTCGTTAAGAACGATAGCCTCACGTAAGTCATCTTGGGTACAGTGACACCTACGACCTTTTAGCCGTGACATGGCAAGTAAGAGTTGCTTTAATGATAGCTAAGATTTCAAAAGGCTGGAAACTTGTGCTGTTTTGTCCACAGAAAAAATTTAGAGCTACAAGCCATTCTAGACTGCCCCGACCTTTTTGATTGTCATCAGATAGTTAGGTTGAAGTTGTCTGGGCTTCTTAAGTACAACCTCATCCCCTTCGAAAGAATGAATGGCGTTATCCTGGTTAGGATTCGGGCGAGCCTACGCATATATGTTCTTGTTGACAGGTTAATGTGTTGATGTGCACACGAAGACTTGGATTTATTTGTGGCTTGTGCCACTGTAAGCTCGTTTGCCTTAATTTGGGCACCAGTAGAAGAGACAGCTTTACTACCTGGCACAGTTCCCGAGTCGCTTAGAGAGGGTATGATTCTACTTAAGTCCGCATGGGATGAAAATACAGCTAAATCCAATACACGATAGCTACTAGCCCAAGGCAATTAAAAATGAAATATATTAATTAATGATGCTAAAATATGATGATAAAAAAAGATGCTAAAACCCATAAAAAGGACAAGACTAAGGAGAACAAGATCGAAGCAATATATCATTTAGCATTGTCCAGGAAACACTACATGCAGGCGATCTAAGCTACACCTCTAATTGATTAATGATTCAATTCGGTATTATGTTCTACGATATATGAGTTAGGTTAGGTTATACCGGCGATCCGAAGGAACCTACTTTAGCCTACAAGCCCATTATGTTACCATATAATTAAAAACTCAATAGGTAGAAATACTTAGAATCTTTGGCAAACCTTATAATGCTATTCAGAGGGAGATCTTGCTGTTCGCCAAAACAGAATGCAGCAGGTATGGTTGAAAGGGAGATTTAGTCTCCTAGCATGGTTACTTAAAATACAATGACCTGTAAGTAAACCTACCACTGAGCGTGGCCAAACTGCATACAGATGCCTGCACATCGTTGAGTCTTCCCATATTTTGTTAAAAAGGAAGAACTCGGTGCCAATTCGCTTGAAATCCCCTTTCTGGCTAACTCGTCTGCTTTGCATTTGCCAAAAATATCTCTATGACCGTGGAGTCAGATTAGAAAAATACTGAGCTGCGTTGACACCTCGTTTAGAGATGTGTAGCAGTCAAAGACTGTGCTAGATATAAATTGGACTGAGCTCAGGGATTTTAAAGCAGCTTGACTGTCTGATAGTATGTATATATTTGTATGAAGTATCATCTACTTCTAGACAAGCTATAGCTTACCTTATAGCACTCATTCTGCCTGAAAAACACTACAGTGATCTGGAAGCCTATAGAGAGAGGAAATATTCAGCCCATCTGAGGAAACTCCACTTCCTATGCCTCTTCTAATTTCTGAACCGTTGGTAAAAATGGTTAAACCCTCCCCCAAAGACGGGCCACCTGACAGCCAAACATCTTTGGATAGGACTCAACAATAAATTTCCTTTCAAAATCGAAAACGGGAGGGCAGTCAATGTTATTGGGAGTAGGACTGTAAAGTTTTAGAATGGAGCCGTGTCTATGGTAACTAGCCCTCCATTGTGATGTAGCTTTCAGTCTCAGAGTAGAATGTTTATTGATGAGGTCAAGTGGCATTAAGTGAAGCATTAGATTTAACTCAATTGATGGTGTGGTACACAGAGCAGCACTAATACTAATAGTACTAATACCACTAAAAGTTTAGCTCTGCGCCTCGGTCATCTTCCATGCCGTGATGTCATACAAAAGTATTGGTCTAATGACAGCCGTCTATAGCCATTGAGTAATACATGATTGTAATCTCCACCTTTTGCCAACAGCTTTCTGACATAGAGCAACGCAATGTTGGCTTTCTTAGCGCGCTCCAAAATATTTTCTTTCCAACTAAGTTTTGTATCGAAAAAAATGGGTAAAGATTTTATTTTCTCAATAAAGTTTATCGCAGAACCTCGGATACAGGGTGGAGAATGATTGGGAACTCTATGTTTACTGGTAAAAGCTACGATTTCAATTTTGCTGGCGTTAACCCCAAGGCCACATTTTAGCGTCAATTTATTTAGGATATTAAGACCAGCAGAACATCCCTTATGTTGGTAGCATATTTTTTGGTAACCATTAAAGCAATATCATCCGCATATGCTATAATCTCACAACCCGATCTCCTTAGTTTTTGTGGCATTTTTTGTGTCTCCTTGGGGAGTACCTCTATTTACCTGCCTGTGCTCTGTTGATGAACCCATATTTGCTTCAATAATTCTGCCAGTTAGTAACTGTCCGATAAAGCTAATGAACATATTATCAACACCCAAATGCGAGAGTGCGTTTGTTATTGCACTAAGAAGAATATTGTTAAAAAAAATCTTCCATATATACGAAAGCAACTATACAAAACTCCTTTAAATTGAACATTGTCTTCGTAGATTGTGAAGGGAAGTAATGATAGGGATCAATAGCACGCCTTATTTCGAATTCTATAATTCTTTGTAGACCCTTCAGCACGATAGATGAGAGGTTAATTGGACGGAGTTCGTTGGGGCTACGATGAGAAGTTTTAGGCGTCTTGGGAATAAAAACAACCTTCCTTCATTGAGTTGGAACATAGCTGAACTTGATAGAATTAACACTTATGTGATCCTTTATTATATTTCTACAGAAAGATCTTGTAAACGGACTAATCTCTCTCATTTCTATTTAGCTTTGCCTTATTAAAAAGTCCCCTGCATTACTTCCGCAACTGACCTAAAGTTCTATTCCACCAAGGTGGGTTACTACTAGGTCGAGTAGAAGGACAGGCAAGGTTAAAAGCTTTATTAAGTCTAGATCATTTGTATTTTCTGGGGGATATTTGTCATCACCTCATTTACAACTGAATTGTACTTAGTCCAGTTCGTATATCTGACATTTCTGAATATTTCTAAACTGGGAGTAATTGGCTAAGTTGATACTAAAATAAATTCTGAAATCATATGGTTTGAAAAGGAATGTTGAATAGGCATTTTCAATTTCTGAACAGACCCATTAAGTTTGGCAATAGTGACGGCGATATCTAATACTTCAAGCCTGTTTTTGGTAATAAAGGTTGACCTATTGCCGTCATTACGTATAAAGAGGTTATTACTAAAAATAAAATAAGAAAGTAACTCAACAAGTTCATTTGTATTGGAGCTGCCCCATACTTCATGATGAGTATTGGCGTCGCAGTCTAAAAGGGTTTCCACACCAAGTTTCCTAGCGCCGTTTGTCAACTGTTTCAGGTTACTTGATGGTATTTCATCGTGATCGTGAATAAAATATGTAGATACTCCCAATATTTGGCCCCAAGGTCCCTCAATACTTACTGCAGTTTGGTCTTTGTCACTATATTGCGAAAGCATGAAAGCGTTATATTTTTTAAATTATTAGTATACAAAATCTAGGCTTACTCTTGTTGATCGCATATATTAAATCAAACTTTTTTGTCCTGAGTCCGCATGCATAATCCCTATAAACTCGTGGCTCTTGCAGCAGGACCATAGCGACCTGGTTATTGCTGAGGCATTGCAGCAGACTGGAGGACGCAGGTTTACAGGGCTGCAGGTTAATTTGTAGCACTCGCATCATAGTTCGTTATGGATATGGTTATGTACACCACCGTTACATCGAGCGCTCTTTCCTCTATATTCATTGCTTGAGTTTAGAAGCTCCCTTTCATCGAAGAGATGAAGGGGATGAAGAAGAGCGCGTACTCATGCTTTCCTCTGATGCAATTGAGGAGACTGGAGAGAAAACGTTCAGTCGAGATATGTGTATTTCTGTTATGTGTGTGACACAGTGTTTCCACTAGAGCCACTATAGTTGCGAGAGCAGGTCTATTGTCGCCCACTTCCGTTTGGGTGTCAACAATGCCTTGCGGTGCTACTGAACCCATTGCATTCAGTGAGGATTGCTCCTCATCCTCATTGTAATGGCTGAGAAACCGTACTTTATGACACCACCAGATCTCGCCAAAGTGACCAAGGATGCTTTGTCAATCATAAAACTAGCTGACCTGTACTTGCCCTAGGCTTTTTCTAACTTCGTGGTTTCTGTCGTTATTTGATGGTTTCCTGACCTAATAAGCTCCAAAATCCGCTGAGGATCGGATGGTTCCGCTTGAACTCACGATTATCTCCTTAGCAACAACCTTGAGTTTGTCGCCTGGCCATACTAGCTGTCTAGTCGTCGCTCGGCATTCTTTGTAGCTCCTCGACGGAGGGCATAACCTAATTAATGGTCCAGAACGCGGGGATATATTGGGTAATTTATTGATGGGCACCTTTTTATTACCACTAGAAGACGTGGTGGGTGCCTTGTTTGGATACGTGATGTCCGAAATTTTTAAGCTCTGTGTAGCCCAGCTCCCCGCTTCCGAATTATTTTGTTTATTTTTATTTATTTTATGATTTAATTCATGAGTTGCGAAGAAAGGGGGAAGTCAATCCGGACAGAGATCCGCTATACCCGGACAAGGCAAAGTTACAACCGGAGAGCGTCAGTTATCCGGAGGCTTTCATTTAAGACACACTAACGTAGTGCCATTCGTCTAATTGGCACGGGTCAAATAACACCGAAGATGACTTTCAGTTGGTGTTTGATAGCCGTTCAAAGCAGACAACCTCGTGAATTTTTACGAAAGTGAAAAAAGGTAATTTCGCCATTTCTTTAGTTTTGGAAACAGAAAATAGTCGCAGGGGGCTAAATCTGGAGAATATGCTGGATGGGGTAGCAGTTCGTATCTCAATTCGTGGATTTTGGCCACAATGCTTAATCAGCACACGATATTCACTTTTTTCCATTGTTGTAAAAATTCACGAGGTTGTCTGGTTTGAACGGCTATCAAACACCAAGTGAACGACGTAGCTTGCTCAAAATTAAAAGGTTGCACAGTAGTAGATTACAGCTGACGGCAGCACTGTTGCATTTGGAGTAACTGCGCGGGAAATTTAAAAAGCCACTGACTTATCAAACCGCCCTCGTATGTTGATAGTCAACATGAAGAACAGGTTCATCTAGAGCTGTTCAATTAATCCAATTATTAATTGGATTACAAAATATTGTTTTAGACATTTATCTGATATAACAAGTTTAACTTGCGGCAAGCAATACATTTATTTTATATTTTTTTGTATACAAGGTATTTCTTTTAACATATTATGGCACTAGTGTAAAAATTATGACAAATATAAAAAACTTTAATACTAATACTGAAAATACTTTCTTTTTTTAAGCTTATGGAATACTGGACCAATTCTCTGTGCCAAGAACAACTTAATAATGAAATGGCTATGTTATCTATGCAACTTTTACGAACAATGTATAGTTTTGATATATTTTTGGAAACGGAAGGACAATTTTATGATCCTAAGGAATATAAAAAGGAAAAACATTATAATAGATCATTTTCAAAACGTATACGAGCTCGACCGTACCGTTATATAGGAGATTCATTCAAACAATAAATTTTATAATAAAGAGTCAATATTACATACACAACTACAATATACTATGTTATGTGTTTTATTTTTAATTATTTATTCTATTTTACTATATTGAATTACAATAATAATTGAATTCAACAATAAAACAATTAAATAGTCACGTCGATTTATTTTATGAGTGGTATCAACTTATTGGTTATAAATCAGCTATAGTGACATATTTCTTCGATATGCTTGTCAGTATCAAAATAATTTAAAAAAATAATAGCTGATTTGTTGAACTTATTTGGATGTTCTTGCTATTGTAGATTATCACATAATTCACCTCGGTACTTATCCTTGTTACCCTTAAACTCCTTGATAATGCAGCTTGATAATCCTTTACAATTCCAGTATTCAAATATCGTTATTTTGTATCAGATATCGTTACTTTGTAAAAAAAATATATAGTTTACACAAAGTTTAGCTTTATTAAAGACTTTCCTTCATGTTATGGAATGGCCTCTACTTTCTGAGTACTACTATAATAACATGGAGTTACTCCTAAATTTTAAAAAGTTTGCAGGTCGCATTAACAGCTGATGTGAATACTACGGTAAGAAGGTCAGACACACAGCTTTCATACTGACTCGAATCTTTCTGTTGGTCACTTCTGACATTAAAATCTTCATAAAGTCCTGTTTTAGCATGTTGTTGAAGGTTCATAACGGTTTCAGGCAGTAGAACACTATTTGATTGATAAATTTACCTATTAGTTCGGAAGATAAAATGCAAGTACTACCATTTTCGAAACACATGATGATATTCGTTAAAAATTTGTTCAGAGTGGTAACAATCGAGTGAAGTTCCCGACCGACTTAACACTCGGTCTGTAATCGACCCGAACCCGTAATTGATCTCTTTCTTGCCGCCATCACGGCATCACTAACCTTTATCATCTAATCGTTGATTACCACATTAGTGTTGCTCGTATTCATTATAGCAAAAATTTTATCTAGTGGTGAGGGCTCAGAAGATAGCCAAGTTTGGTAGCAAGGACATTATGGAATTTCGATCACAGAGACAGTTTTAAGATGCCCGCCAGGCCATACCGCTTACCATCTTTGCAAACTGACAAAAAGTTCGTTTGTTCTATATTCGTTTTTAGATTGAAAAGGGTGACTGAACGCCGAGTCTCCGCATTTTATGTTCTTTGATTAGATGACTTTTGATACCTTACCTTATACAGATGCTAGAGCAACTCAATAAATGCTCCAACTATAAATGCACCAAAATGTAATATTTTCACTTGAATAATGTTTATTTTCTTAAAATAGATAAGTGGGTCATTAGTTGCTATTAGTGCTAATCGTTATGTTACTCATGGAATCACCTGATAGACCTGGTTCCCGACAGACAGACTTGGTTTTTGGATACCATCGATCTCCGTGATTTTTGTTGGTAGAATTATTTTTAGCGACAGTAGTTGATTTAAAATTTTTATTACAGCCGTCCTTTTCTACAAAACACGCTCTCACCTGCATCTTAAACAGTGGTACAATAGTAGTCGCTAACAAGGAAAGAGACGCTATTCAACTTATACCTTTTCCGTGTTGAGGGACGCTTATTGAAAAATCGCCTATTGAATCTTCTTGAAGTGTGTCCTTATCATATTCAACGCGTGTATGAGATCAAATTCGAATTTGTATTAGAAAGGTAAGTTATCTATATTTGTATTATAATTAGAAGATTGATTGGTAGACACATCTGTTTCATGTGTCGGATCAGGCACAAAATGAAAAATTTATTAAAGAGATGTCTCTCAAGTCAAACGGTAATACCGAAGCTGAAGATGCTTACTAACCAAATAATTATTAAGCTAATGAATATATCTGAGCGAAATGTGGAATTGGGCAACAAAATTTGACAGCTTTAGAAGAAATCTTGTTTGAATTTAAATTTACCAATCGAAAACGCCGTTACATGTACGTGGGACATGACATTGGGACACACTTGTTGTTTTGAGTAGTGTTCAATTAATTTTATTAACAAGCAAAAAAGCGTTTAATATTTAAAGAACATTTTTAAATTGTATTAAACATAACATAGTTTATGACAATATTGTCAAATTGCTTATAATATAGTTATATAAATAATCCATATAATCTGTTCAAATAAAATATTCAGTTTGATTGTTTGACGCTTGTGTGAGTCAATCAAACAGATAAAAGTGGTTATCGTTTTTGTTCCAATTTATATATCGTTCCTTTAGTTCCTTAAAAACGCTAAAAACGTGTGCTAGTACTTTGTGGAGTGCATGTTCTGGTATTCGGTTTTGGTGTTATTCGGAAAAAGGAGCTAAGGTAATTTTGCGCAAATTTTTAATTGTAAATTATAAAAAGCTTTTATATATAATTTCATTTTCTAATATAAAAAATGTATTTAATAATAAATTTCGCTAGTGTTTTGCGTTTATATTATATTATAAATGCCGACACGTGTTTTTTGCAAAACACGCCATTTATTAATAGTTGCAAATTTCACGTGTTAACTTACCTTTTTTAACATTTTTATATTGTAATAAAAACATAATATAATATATTTACAGTTTTATTAAAATGGATGCATCGAAGGAAGATACTGAGCCAGAGTCATGTAACGAGTCTGAAGATGGCAAAAAAACCTCAGAAAATCATATGGTGTAATTATAGAGAAAATTATTTTTAATAAGCATATATATATATATATATATATACATATAAGTATACATACATATATATACATATATTATAAATATATATTAGAAAAATATTACAAATATAATATCGCTAAATAATATTGAATTTATTTTATATTGTGAATAATCCTACAGTACCTTTGTACTCTTATTTATTTTTTCAGTCCAGCATATATGGGTGCTTTAATGCGTCGCCAATTTTTGCAAGAAATGGTGAAAAATCTTCCATCCTCGATACAAAATCGCATTACTTCTTTGAAAAATATTCAACTTGATCATCTTAAAGTCGAAGCTGAGTTTTTTGAAGAGGTTTACAAGTTAGAAATGTTGTATCAAAAAAAGTATTTACCATTTTTTGAAAAACGCAAAGAAATCGTTACTGGAAAATTTGATCCTCCAAAAGAAGAACCTAAGTGGAACACAGAGAATAGTGATATTGATCAATCAGTTGGCTCAGATTTCTCTCAAATCTTAAAGTAAATATATTTATAAGACAATATAAATATCTTTAAATTATATAAACTGTATTGTAGGGAATTTAAAGATATTCCTGAGGACACTAAGGGTATTCCAAACTTTTGGTTAACTATATTCAGAAATACTGAGTTGTTATCAGAAATGGTGCAGGAACATGATGAGCCGGTTTTGAGAAAACTAACTGATATAACTATTAAATATGAAGAACAGGTACGGTAATAAATAGCATTTTTATACTGTTAAGTCTTAAATTATTTTTAATATATATATTCCAAAATTATGTATATATATTTTATTTATGTTAAGCAAAGTATTAAATACATATATATATTTCTCTTCTTATATGAAGTCATTGCGTTTCAAGTTAATATTGTTTAATATTAATATTAAGCTGTAAAGTTCAATGGCTAGCAATGTTAAAGTTTAACACATCCCAGGAATTTTAGTTATGTACGAAAATCACTGATATCAATGTTTTCATTCGACCTAACATCATGACCATTATACATACATATATACATACTCATATAAAAGCCAAATTAAGAAAACTGAAACAAAAATAATAATAAATAATATTCTTTTGAAACTAAAAACCTAATTAATTTTTTACTTATTTAATAAAAAATTTATATAGCCCGGGTATACATTGGAATTCCACTTCGATAAAAATGAGTATTTCTCTGATCCAGTTTTAACTAAACAATACTTTTTAAAATCCACTGTGGATGAAGAATACCCTTTCAGCTTCGAAGGTACAGAAATATTTAAGTGTAAGGTAAGTCCTTTAACTTTTTTTTTTGTTATTTTTATTGTTTAATATAAATAATTACTATTAATATCTAACACATTATAGGGTTGTAACATCAATTGGGAAAAAAAGATGAATTTAACTGTTAAAACAATAAGAAAGAAGCAGAGACATAAGGAACGTGGTGCTTTCCGTACTATTGTTAAACAAGTTCCAAATGATTCCTTCTTCAATTTCTTTAACCCTCCAGAAGTACCAGATGATAAAGAAGAGGTGGATGAAGATACTCAAAGTGTAAGCAATATATTTTGTGTCTTTACATAAATTAAATAAATAATGTCTTGAATATAAATTTAGTTATTGGCTACTGATTTCGAAGTTGGTCACGTTCTACGCGCTCGCATTATACCAAAAGCTGTTTTATATTACACCGGTGATATAATCGACGACGAGGATGATGATGATGACGAGTTTAACGGAGAAGAGGATGACGAAGACGAGGATGATGAATCTGGAGATGACGATGGTAAAAATACTGGTAGCAAACAAAAACAATCAGTAAAAGAATGTCAGAATCAATAATTTTAAAACAATTCTCTTTTTTAATGAAGGTTAAACTTTAAAATTCCAAGAAATGCTCTGTTTAACTTATAATTTCATTGGATCCAAGAAAAACTAGAAAAATTCAAGATCCATTAACATTTTATTTACTCAAATATAAATTTAAGATGGCTTTATGTTACAATTTATTCAAAGCATAACATTGTAATTTTCATTTAAATTTTTTCCAATAAAATTTTTACTATAGAAGAAAAAAATATATTTAATTTTTTTTATGAATTTTATTTTAAATAAAAGAAAAATAAATTCCTGTATTCAAATTATATTATTTAAAAGAAGTCAGTGAAATTTACAAAACAAATTTAAAAAAAAAATATGTTAAAATTATGTCACAATTCAGAGAATGTATTTAGTAATTGATGGTGTTTTTTTTTCTTTCTATTTATTTGCTTAATTTAAAAATGTGAATATCAACGGCCTAGAGCCGTTTACTCTATGCACAATAATTTTTGTAGCTTAATAACTAACGCAACGCCAATAATGTCCTTATTTATTGATCATATACTCAATAATTAATATAAATTTATCATATATATAATTAATATTAGTTTATGAAAATATTAATCCCGCGTATTTTTATTATTTATAAATTAACATATATTCTATACTTATAATTTTTTTAAATATGCGTTAGCAATAAAAATAATTTAATTTTAAGTCAACAAACGGGTTTTTTCATATTATATATCTTCAATTTAAATATTTAAATCATAATAAATTAATTTTAAAGTGTTTACAACCATGGATACCAAGCTGGATCCATGCGGCATAAATTATCTACATTTACAGCAGATTGTATAAGTATGGAAACTTTTTTGGCATCCATATTATCGAAATATGAGATATTACTTAGTCTTTTCATTATGACACTTACAGCTTTATTAACTGTATGTATAATATTACTCATGGAGTTCATTTCGTTTGAATTATCATCATTGGAGTCACTAACTGGTTTTGTTTCACGAAGCCTTTTCTTATGCAAGTTAATTATTTCATCTTTTAATATCGCTTTAAGAATGGAGCAAATTTTGAAATTTGGTTGTACAAAGCATCGCGCTGTAGCAACAATAGCAGCTGACAATGGGCCATTAATGCCAATATTTGTAACAAACTCAGCTATATTTGGAGTCAAACGGAATGGAACAGGTCTACTTGATTCGAGTACATCTTGCTCATCATTAATATCAAATTTAAAATAAGATATATTCATTAATCCAGAGTCCTGATGCAAATACATCATATCGGGATTTAAACGTGTAAGATGTAGAGCATGTTCACATAAGTACGCTAATGCAAGTTGTAATGTTAACTATAATGCAAGAAACATAATTATTAAATTAAGTTAAGATTTTCATTAATTTTGTTTAACAAGATCTTACCATTTTACGAAACTGCCAAAAATCTGTAGCTGATGAAAAATTCTTAAACGCCCAATTTTTAATTAAATTTATCGGTACCATAATTGATTGAATTTCACAAAATATGTCGCATAACACAGTATGAGTTGTTTGAGTTCCTCTCGATTGTACTTCTGACAGTCGATCGTAATATTTTACAATTGGTGCATCATGATCCATTTTTAACTTTAAACAGCAGTTTTTGAAAATTTCTCTTAGGGATATACTTGCTGGGTTATCCTCTGCCAATCGCATTTGAGGAGATATGGGTACTACTTTGGGTACTGTCATATTCAAAAACCGTCTAGCTGTTTCCTTTTGCTTCTCTAAATAGCAATTAAGCATACGCATTAATTGCAAAACACGTTCTTCACGACGCGCATCTCCTAATCCAGTATCAATTATTACTAAGTATGGATAAACCTTTCCATTTGTGCCTCTAATATACAGACGTCGAGCGGCTGTATTATTTTTTTGTACTATTTCCACACGTGGCATAAACCGTGCTATACGTATATGATAATGCGATGAAGTTGGTATTAATAATTCACCAGGTAATTCAACTTCGGCTGTTTTTTGACTAAAGTTTGATAAAAATCTGCATTTGTCCTCAATCAAAAATGATGTTGGTAACTTTTTTACTTTAGTTTCTAATACTTTAATCCATGTCTTCAATTTAGATATAAGATTATGTAGTTTCATAGCTCCTGGTTTAGAAAAATCAAAATCATTTGTAAATTGTTCTTTCATTTTTTGAAAAACTGGATCTTGGAATGTTACTTGCGCTCTGCGAGCAAGTGATTCCGATGTTGCGGATGTTGAAATCGAAGAGGTAACTGATCTAGGTGGAATATTTTCAATACCAATACCAAACGTCGAACCAAGTTTTTTAACAAAATGCAGTGTATGTGGCGTTATAGTGGCTTCGCTTACTGTACTTCTATTCTCAAAAGCAATAGCGTAACATTTTATTAGGCCCTGCCGTAATTGCCTTAAAACTTCTTCAGTCCAACTTTCTCTAAACCAAACCATTTGATCAACTATACCTTCTAATGAACTTAAAATTGTTGGATGAATTTCACGTTGAAATTGCATAACTTTAGAACACCGCCACATAGAAGGAGTTGCTTTGATTGGATTGACTGATGGCGTTGCTGGCATCGTCTGAGGCAATGTTGTGAAAGGTGTTTGCGTTGGGTTCTCCGTTTGCTAAAATGTATAAACGTTTAATTATTTTTACTAATAAAATATCAATTTATGTATGTAAAGATTGATTTTATATACTTACAGGAGGGTTATTCTTAACGGCAGATACTGCTTGCTCAACAGATTTATGCTTTTCACGTTGTTCAATTTTTAAAGTAAAATATAAAGTTCTTATCGGGAAATACACAGCCTGCGGATATAAACGACCAACCTAAATATAAACCAAAATATTAAATTTGTATATATATGTTATTATATAACGATATATATGTATAACGAATCAAAAACACATAAGTTAATATTAGATAGAGTAGTTCAAGAACAGTCAAATCTACTTCCATGGGCTACTTCTTTTTTTAGATGACTAAGATCCGCTAACCACTTCTAACTAGGCTAATACAACAATCCACTGTTTTATTATAAAAATAGAATTTCGCTTTTGGGTCAGAAATTCCATTTTCGATGAAATACATTGAAAGATTGACACTCCACGTCCGGAAACAAAAGCTATGGTTCCAAAATCAATCGGTTATGTGCACGAAAAGCTGGTTCGTCCTTTTAATTCCCAAGAGGTGAATTTTCTCTGCTAGACAAAGCTATGAGGTTGCTAATTGGTTACCTAAGAGAAAACCTCAAACTGAGCTATCATCTCAGCAAAACTCGACAGAATATCGCTACTGTCGCGAAGAAGATGTGAATATAAGCCCAGCTTCATGCTACCGTTTATATTATTAAATTTTTAATATGACATTCAGCACTTTACTGTGTCTGCTATCAGGAATATCTACAGAACAAGCTTCCTTCATATATATCAAGAATAAATGTGTTGTAACTCATAAATTCATCTGTCCCTAGTGTGCCACAACTTTAGTTCATTCTTATGACGTTCCCCTCTGTTTTCATGTCCAAATGTACACTTTTATGGTTCGCCACATTGACGAACAAAGATCCTTCATCTAGGCCTAGGTTAAGTTGAATATTTCTATGCATCCCTTATGATTAATTTTGTACCTAATCTATTTCATTGCTTTCCTGGGCAATTTGGGTTACAAAAACCGAAAACATTCAAAACGGCCCAACAACGTTTGTGCTTTGATTACAAGCATTAACGGCCTCATATAATGTACTTTGATTACCGTAGAGAGACACAACGTGACACAACAGGTTTTTGCTTGATAGATTTTGTTTCTATTCTACCAAGGTTGCATGATTTTTTCAATTAAAACCGTTATCTACTCCTCCATCTTGTCTTTTCCACCCCATCAAGCTCTATCCCACCCCACCCTGTCTACTGCCTTTATAGCTCTGCTTCACAGGTAATCTGCCTGGCGAAAACAACATTAATACTTACAAGTTATGCCCTGCAAATTCGTTGCTTTCATATTTCTGATCACAACTCTGACGTATGTATGTATATTATAACTTTAAATAGCTTTTGCGTTTCTTTAAATATTTTTTAATTCAGTTAAAATAAAATAAGCAAGAATATTTCAGTAATAATAAATAATTGTTATTATAATCTACAATAAGTTTATGGTTGTAGGTACTTACATGGCTCAAGAGATTTCTAATTACATTTCCATCATATTGTACCAAACAGCATAGCAATTGTGGTATCCATGGCAACCAATATGAAGACGGTATGCCAACCACATATTTTTCTAAAGTATTCATTATAGTGCCTGCGCTGTTTTCATATGACAAAAACCATAACACTTTAGCGATATACTTTCGAGCTTTACTTTCACTTTGATGTCGACATGCATGCAGGAAGCAAGTTAAAGCACTGACAACTAAAACTGTTTGTTGGTCACGTAAAAATAACTGCTCCATATACTCTCCCCACATTGCCCAAGCTTTTGTCAGTCCATCGTGTAACTGTACCGCTGCACTGAAAGCTTTACCAGCTTCATCACTTCTACCAATTTGTGATAAAAGCATTCCTTTTAGAACATAAAACTCAGCATTCATATCAGCAGTAAAATATTTCAGATTAGTAGACTCAATAACCTCTAGTGCTTCATTAAGTTCACTCCTGCCGGCTGATGGAGGCATTTGTAAATAACATTTAACTTGTTGACGAATTTTCTAAAAGAAAAATTCAAAAATGTACATATTTATAATTGGTATTTAATAAAGAGTAAGCTTAAGAAAAACTTATTATAAATGATTTAATAATTGATTTCAAACCCACCTGAAAGCAATCAAGTATTGGTACAGATGGTATTGTATATATGCGAGATAGAGTTTCTTGACATACTCCAGTTAATCCCTGTTTTCTTGCAATTTTGCCAAAATATATTATTGCTTGTGCCGACGCATGTACACCGAGCATAATATTGCCTTGATCTGGTTGTTGCTCCAAATGTTGTGTAATAGTTTGATAATGATGTTGTCTCCATGTAAAAATATCACTCCAATGTGATAAATCATCTGCAATAACTGGAAGACGATTTCTCCACGTTTTAACAATTGCTTTCATGTCATGAAAAGATGAACAACGTGATTGTATCAATCCTTGATGTATTTGACTTGCTTCATGTAATTCCATTATTTGTTGTGCCGCTTGTAAATATTGCAAATGCATATGAGATACAATATGCGGAAGTCTTCTCCACTCTCGCATACACAATCCAGATGCGATTTCAACATAGCGATCTACATTAGATATTTGACGTTCTTCCATGTAAAGAATTGCCAAAAACCCTTTATAAAGGTTTATTTTGTATCCGTATTGTTTGCCAAATGATTGTTCGATTTTTATTAATGCATTCTTCATAAGATTCCAATCTGGTACACGCCAAGCACTTTCCAATATTAAAAACATATTTTTTTCCTTATTTGTTTGTGCATAATCTAATAATATATCCCACTGATTCAGTTCTTTAGCACAACGTATCCAATGATTTTCCCATAGCAACAACTCACTGTTAAGTGTAATATCACCTGGACCGTTTAATAAGTCTTGCTTGTATTTGGACATCGCTATGTCATAAGCACCTTGTGCCTCTTCAAAGAATCCCATTTGTTCGTATGCAATAGCTATATTCGTTTCATTATAAACAGCATATTTCTGCCATAAACCTGCCCAGAGATCTTCTTCTTGTATCGCTGTGTACATTTGCGATAGAGCATCATATATCTCCCCACATTTTGCATTAGGTTTATTTTCGATAGACTTTATATCTGCATTTTCGATAGAACTCGCATTTTGTTGCTCGGCCATTTGTTCCAATACTAAAGTCATTCTATGCCATAAATTATGTGCCTTACCCAAATGTACTATTAAATTTGGAGGTATGTAAATGGGTGGATCACAATACGTCAATGCTTCAACAAAGGTATTAAGCGCGCTTGGACAACAATCTTTCTGAATAACATTTGTACCAGAAGACAAGAATGGCACAATTTCTCTGACTATTGCAATGCGTTGTTCCTCCTCGAAAATTTTCCAAAAACGGGGAAAAATTTCCAACCAAACACTTTCTGCTAATTCTCTCTCCATATGACATAATTGAGAAGTAGCAACGAGAAATTGATCAGTTCTTATTTTGCGATTAGCCTCTAGAAATTCAATTTGCTTATGAATAAGTTTACCAAGGTTTTCTTGCCTTGTAGCTAATATCTCATCTGTTTCTTCTCTGCGATTAACATTAAAATTAATATTAAAATTAACATCAAATATATCGTCCTTATCATCAGTACTCATATCTGTATCGAATAGATCATTTTGAGAAGATGCATAAATGACAAAACTACTTTTCATCTCATTATCAGCTGAATTTATAACTGAAGTAATACTGGGAATTTTATGCGTTTCATTTGAGTTTTGTATTTGACACATCGTATTTGCTGTAAGAACTATTAACTCGATACATTGTTTAATCCAATAGTGGGTGCCAATCGAGTCCCAAGCTTGTGAACATATGATATATAAAAGACGATCATGTAAACGACGTCTCATCGATGCATCTAGAATTTCAAAGAATTTTGCTCGAATTTGTGGGTTTTGACAACGTAACCCAGTTAGGTACGCTCCTTCAAGTTTTGATGTAAGCTCTGTTTGCTTCATATAGTCATCTCGGTATATATAATTAACAATTTCTAAAAATTGAATATTTAATTCAGTTTCATCAGGAAATTTCTTCTCCATATATTGCATTAACTTCATTAGAAGTACAGATTTCTCTCTTATAGAGGGTATTTGCATCAAATAATTTTGCTCCCTAGTACGTATCCAATCGTCCAACATTTTAACAATGCATTTCATAATCTTTGCATCAGAACTTTTTTCTATTAGGCTTACTAATATGCTACCTATAAACAATTTTCGTACTTCAACACCCATAATGCTAACTCTATTCTTTATCAAATCCAATGATATTATTAGTAATTCGAGTGCTATATGGTTTCCTTCTGGAGCAGGCGGGGGTGCTGTAGTATTAGCTTGTGCATTGATATGATCTTTGGTTAAACGATTTAATACGCGTATAAACTGCAAAATGATGCGGTCAATATAACTAGAGTTGCTACTACAACATGATTTTAAAATCATTAATGTACTATAGAGTGTTGCAGCATTCGGCTGAGCGCTTTTTTCATAATATGATAAATTTTCAATAATCATTTTGCTAATGGTTGCATAAAGTTCCTCAAAATCTTTGTGCTTATGTGAAGAGTCAGGAGGAAAAATTGCCATTAACCGCGTTAAGAATGTGTGCATTACACGTACAATACGAGCATTTTGATGAACAACACATGCAGATAATCCTCGTTGTATGGGTCTTATGATTAATATAAGATGATCTTTATTTAGAATTGTTGTTAAAAATGTTAAGAAATCAATAGCAACACAAACATTGCTGGCATTGAATTGCTGTCCCTCTACGGTGGCAAGAACTTTATCCATCCAATTCAATTTCATGTCAAACGGTTGTATCCATACGTCTGGGCGCATTGCCATTTTAAGTAACATTATGCATCTGAAAACAACAATAAGAAATTAAATTAAAAAAATTAAGACAAGTTAGTTCGTGATAGACCTTCGTGATAAACCCTCTCCGGCATTAATTAACCCAGGAGTAGCCTCATTTACATGACAAGCAAGACGTACGAGAAAGTTAAGCACTGTGTCACAGTGCAATTTTTCTATTGAACGTGAAACTTCTTCAGTTTTAACAACCGCAGATGTTGGTACCCCTCCACTGGTAGATGCTGTTTAGGTTAGACATAGTATTTGTTTAGTTAGATTTAAATAAAAACATATATCTTATAGTTGTCACTTACATTGTGCACCTTTGCTGTTGCTATTATCTGGAGTTGGTGCCTTTTTACGTTGTTCGATTAGGTCATCTGCGGAAGCACGCTTTAAGGCGATCTCACTCTGAATTTTATTTTTATTATCTACTTCCATTTCTTCTTTCTTTATTTCATTATCTTTGATACACTGAAGTTCCCATTTTATTACCACTTCTGCAAGATCTACAGAGAGTTTTTTATGTTCTATAGATGCATTTGGCGGGAATCCTAATCTTTGCATATAATTAATTAAATGTTGTACTAACTGGTGGCGAACAGGAAAATAGACCTATTTATAAAAAATTTATATTAGTTAGCAAAAACATAAATAAATAAAATAAAGAAATAAAATATCGAAGAAAGCTTTTTTTGTTTATTTTAAAATATGTGCTACCGATTATAATAATTATTTTTACATATATATATATATATATATTTTAATATAATATATATTTTAATATAATTTATATTTTAATATAATATATATTTTAATATAATATATATTTTAATATAATATATATTTTAATATAATATATATTTTAATAAATATTTAATTTTTATATACAAAAATTTTTTGACAACTTACCTTATAGTGACGAACTATAAGTTGTAATATGTGAAATAATTGTTGCATAGTATGCCCCTCCTCTACAATAATTTTTTTTGTCCAATGAGTAAGCATTGTATTGCCATCTTCCATACGCAGCGGCATTGCAGGGGTTAGGACGTCTAAAGCTTGGCGTACTACAGGACGCGCTTCAACAGCGTAACCTTTTAATAACGAGTGAAAAACTTGTAAAACAATTTTTTTGTGAATTGCCAATCTAGCGATAATATGAGCTAGAAGCAAATGTCCATGATATCGCGCTGTGGGATCAACTGAATTCTTAACGAGTAGACACGGCCAAGCAAAGGTCATTAGTCGGCGTAGTTTATTTCCCTGTCGTTTATTGCTAGCATCACCATCGTGTATGTGGTGTGAAGCTCTTTCAACTAACAAACACGCAAGTTGCAAAAGTGCAATTCTGACGACATCATCATTCGCTATAGGTTTATCTGGATCAAAAATCTTGCTAATAAATACTGATACGATATTGTTATCATCTTCATGGTAGGGAGCTGGTGGTGCACCGATCAATTTTGTTTCTTCGCCCTTATCGAAGCTAACAACGAAGCAAGGTATAAGTACAGTTGTAATAATTTTTGCTTTCAGTTCACTCGACAGAGCTGGACTATTGAAATTTTTAACAAAATGAAAAAAGGCATCTCGTTTCCAATGTACAGTAAAGCTATGTGCAACGGTATTTTGTAAAAATTCACGCAAAAAATAAAAATCTGGTATGAAACGTAAACATAGAGCTCGGAGTAATTGAAAAAGTAAGTCTATATCATTTGTGTTGTGTGAAAAATAACACAACAAAATTTTTCCAACTAAATGCCACATATCGCAAGCGACATTATCATTACACGTTTTGTAAAGATTTTGTTGCCAAAGCCGCTTTAATGTACTTATTATATCATTCTTAGTTGGTATCCATTGATTATCGCCTTTCATAATAGTATAGATAATAAGTATCGATTGCTTTTGAGCTGTGTATTTTTGTGATTCAGTTAGTTGATCATTCGAAGTAATTTCAATATTAATTAATTTTATTAATGTATTGCAGCGTTGTGATTTAATAACATTACTAAATGTTTGTCCTGACTTGCTTCGTAGCAAATAAATGAAAAACCGATTCCACTGCTCATTAACAACAATTGCATCAGAAAGAAATAGATCAACAGTTTCGACAGGAAAACGCAAAAGGAATTTAATAAGCGCATCCCGATATGGACTTGATGATTCAATCATTAAACTATTTTCTGTTTGCAATACCAATTGACAAAGACTTTCAATAAATTTAGGCGTTGCTGCGGAAATTTGATGAAACATCTCAATTAAAGTTACTATTATCTGCTCATATTCATCACTTTTCGATATTGAGAAAAAGTTTCCACCTTTCTTTATGCAATTAGAAACAGTTATCTCTAATAGCTTCTGACAATGTTGCAGTATCTGTTCACTTAATTTATCATTAAACATTTGTGGAAATAATTGTGTGAAATATGAAAGCCGTTTAGTCGTAGTTAAGGATAAATTCCTGTGATCTCCTAATGTTAAAAGTAAAGGACGCATTCCGGCATAACCCTAAAAAATATTTGAAAGCATTTCTTTTAAAACTGTTAAAATAATAAAAGGTTATTATTTAATAGACCATTGCATAAATTATTAAAAAATTATTGTCAAAGAATTAAAATGTTTTTTTTTAATAATTTAGTTGAATTATGATACATACTTATTATATTGTTATTCAATATCGCTCGAAATATGAAAAAATTTTATTTTGATTCATATTGTGAAATTCACAGAATTTATACACTAGTTACTTACACTTAGAAGTTACTTACATTAGTTTTCTAATTGAAGGCTATCAATTTGAATTATAATTATCAATTATATGTAATAAAAGTTCATTTGAAATTTGACATAAAAAAAAACATATATCATAAAAACCTCTCATGATACATTTTTTCAAAAAAATATTAATAATATGTTATCATATTAATAATAACAACTAACGATGAAACTTTAAAAGAAACGATTAGAGGCTTTTGAACGTCTTAATGAATGCGGAGTAAGATTCTGTAGTTTTTATACATACAGACTAAAATTTTATTTAAAAAAAAAATCATATTCTAAAATAGATCTCGATATAGTTATTTAATATCAAAAAATTTTTCAACTAACAGTCTTATGCTCTATATATAAAAACTTTTTATATCTAATTTGAAACTTAGATTGACAATTAATTAACCTAATATAGAATTTATATGCTACAGATTTAAAATAAAATCATAAACCTTGTTATTGTTTGTACTAATAAATACCTTTTCTTTATCCATCTGAATACCAGATATAAATAATTGCATACATTTAAACGCTGCTTCTTGTAAATCCGATTTACTGTTTTCCATCACTTTAAAAAGTATATTTATGATTTTTTCTTTATATTGACTGTCAGTTATATAATGGCAAGCAGCAAGAGCACGTAAAGCTGCTTTTCGTAATGGAATAAGATTACCCACATTTTTATAACAATCTAATTTCGTTAGTGTAGTATCCTCAGCCTCACTAAGTGTAATTAATTCATGGAAAAACAGTTTGTGATAACTATTTTTTAAATCTGTGAAATAGGTATATACATTAAAAAAATATTAACTCATAATTGCAGAACTGCATAAAACATACTTATAGTAAATAGCCGTGGTTCCAACGTGGTACAAAATGTATTACCTTCCATCAATCCAATTTGAGCATTTGCTGGTTGATGCCTCAATAAATGTTTTTTTGGTGGTATAATATCTGCTAGAACTTCTTTATGTGGATCCATTATGTCTGCGACAGATTGGTTTTGTAATTGTGCAATATATCTTAATGATTCCATAGCTTCTTTTCGAAGTAAGGAATTCGGGCTAGTAATTTGTCTAACTAGTTCATGTATAACTTCATGAGTTGCTTTTTTTTGTATTGAAATTATTTCCTCATTTTTAGGTACATTTTCGAAAGGTGTAATACAAATTTCCAACATTGTTCTCAAGTATGACTTAGCTATTTCAATGGCTCCACTTGAAACTTCAGCTTCTAAATCAACCAATACAAACATAAAAGCTTTAAGGAACGTAAATAAATGTTGGTATAAATATTTTAACGACATATGTTGATACATAAATTGTATTGCTTTGCAGCCTCCAACTTTAGCATACCAAGGCCGTTCATAACACAACGAAGTCATTTTTTCTGCTAAATACTGCATTAAAGGTAATCTACAAGCCCTTTCTCTATTACCCATTATATTTGTAGCAGTTTCCAATATAATACCCATACATAATGTACCTGGTTTGCATAGTTCTTTTTCTTCATGACCCATGCAAACAGCTAATGCATCAATAAGAACCATTGGATCGATACAATTGCTCAAATTGCAATGTTTATAAGGAAACGGACCGGCTTGTTGAGTAATTGCAACCATAGTATAATGACGCACAACAGCAGCCATAACTGGGAAAGCGGAATCCCTTAGATCCTTTGTAGCTGATGCAACAATCATACCAGTTAAAGCGACTTGATGGGTTTTTCTAGCTTGCGCTTCTTCATTTTGATTCGGTAACATTGACCAATTAACGATGTTGCTTTCAGTAAAACTAGGATGCATAAATAATTTTTGTATAGTTAGTTTATCGTCATCTAAACTTATAGATGCAGCCAAAAAGCATCGAATTACTTCCCAACTTTGTCTTCGGTAAAATGGATCTGTAGTATTGACTCTAAGTGCGTTAAATGCAATTTCAATTGTTTTATCTACAGGAAAATCAATTGGTCTTTCATGTTCCTGAAAGTACGTCACAATAGATATTGGTAACTTCTCACTCTCAGAGTACTGTAGAACTTGTGGTTCGACCATCATTTTTCTATTTCCACCACCAAACTTTCCAAGTACACGGAACGCAACTAGTGCAGCACTATCTTGATTTCTCAATGTTTTCCAAAGTGCTTGCATTAATGCGGCACGAACCGGTTGTATATGATCGTACAAAAAGTCTGGTTGAAGGTTATCTACACAAAGTTCTAAAGTTCTTAAACCCTACAAGTAAATAAAGTGTTTTTATGTATTTTTTTTTTTTTTTTGTAAATTGCAAAATATTATAATACCTGACTGACTAACGTTGGAGATCCATTAAGTGCTGAAACTAGAGGATCCATTAACATTGGCAGATATGGAAGTAACGACGATAATCGTACAGGAACTGTAAGACATAACTCTACAAATAGATCTTTCATATGTTGTTTATGAAATCCACTTTGTAAACGATTTAAACCTTCCAATAGATTTGGTAGTAGTGGCAAAAATTCTTGATAAAGTAAATCATGACTGCCTCCACCAATTGAACGGAAGAGTGCACGCAAAAGTAAAAAGTAATTATAAGGTTCTTCTACTGATAATGCTAACTCCATGGAACGGTTAACGATATTATGTAAATGTGGTCTAAGCATTTGCTCATTTTCTACTGGAAATAAACTTACACTCCCAAATACCAATTTAAATAGACGTAAATACAAATTTGAGCGTTCTTGTGTTGAACCCATTTCATTCATTTTTCCTAGCAAAAATTCTACTAACACGGTAGCAAACAGTGGTGATGTTGCAGGATTCGCGAGGAAAGAATTAGCAATTACTTGAAGAGATGAATTTTTATGAATTCTCTCAACCATATAATCAATAGTTGAAGCAAATATTTCTTGAAAATTCTGTGGATGCATCATTAGAAACTAAAACAAAAAAAAAGGTCAAGAAAATTCTAACAAAAATTATTTATAAAACTTACAACTCCACTAAAATGTTCCAAAACTTCTTTCTCTTCTTTCGATTTTGGACCCGGTCCTGTGGGTCTTTGTTGTGTTGTGTTACCAACATTAATTATATATATATCTAATGCTTCCATAGCCCAATATACTAGATTAATATATATCAGTAATTCTTCTGATCTGAACAATTTATCTTCATTGGGTCTTTGTGCTTCAGGATTTATAAACTGTACAAAGGTTTATATTAAATTAAATTATATTATAATATTTGTGTATTTTTAAGCGGTTTACTTTAGAGTTTGTAAATCCCCAAGTTATGGTTTTGACGCCACCTACTAAAGTTTTAACTAGACTTCTATATTCTACTATATTTACAGAACATGTCCAATGATTCCCATTTGTTGTCGAATTCGATTTTATTTCTGATGTAAAATTTTCCTGTTGAATTATAATATTTTTATTCAATTAATTATAATTTTAAATTCATAAAATTAATTAAACTTACCACTACGGGTTCCTTGCAATCCATACCGTATGCAGACGAAGGAGATGAATTAGCATTCGTTGTAGTATTTTGTCCCTTCCTGTGAATATTTTATATAAAGTTAATATCACTGTTTTAATAAGTAATCAATTACTGACCATTTTTGCATTAATAAAGGTAAATGAACCTTTGCAATTATTTTAAATTTATATGCAAATACTTTAAGTAAAACTAATAAAATGTTCCGTGCCTTAGCAGGATCTAAATCACTTTGTTGTCTAATACAATCTACCAAATTTAGTAATAGTTTGCAAGACATTGTCTGTATTCCAATTGCAAGAGATTCATCATGCACATTTTTTGAAAATAAATTTACTGCTTTTTCCAAAACATTTAAGTTTAAACTTTGCCGAACATGATGAGCAAGATCAGCTAACGTTGAATAAGCTAATGGACGTATTGATTCAAGAGTTACGCCTTTACCAATTAATAAGTCCTCGTCGAAAAGTTGCTCAATTTTTGGTATAAATTCTATGCAATACAAATATTTAAAAAAATATAGAGTTTATTAAATAGTAAATAAATATACCCATTCGCAAATCAGTCGCAAATATATGTCGAGCTGCAATAAGTAATTCTTTTCGTAAATGTGCAGCTTCCTTTGGACATAATTGCATCAAATTTAGTAAACCACTGGTTACACTTTCAGCATGATTTTGAACAATATCCTTTATAAATAATTAAATACAGAAATGATAATTAAATATAACACTAAACTAGTGAATCGAATGTTTTCATTTCTTACCTGAAATATTCGTACAATATAGGCTAAAAATGAAAGAGTTTTGATTTGTGCTCCCATAAAGTCTACAAAAATCTCCTTGTTAAAATGGGGAGAGTTTCTAAAAAAAATAATTAATAAATAAACTTCTGAGGAATTTATGATAATGGTTATTAAAAACCTTTGTTGAGGATTGGGTTGCAAGTTGATTGTATGCATGATAAGAGGAATAAATTCTGCCACTTCTTGATGTACAGCATTTTTATATATCTGGTACATTAAAACAACTATGATTGGAAGTTCTTGTAATACTCTTAGAGATAATATTCCTTTTGGCAGCAGATTGAACTGAAAATATACAACAAATACCCAAACATATTACAAATATAGTAACTGATATAGAACTTAAGCAGAAAAATATAACACATACAATGATATGATTGTATATGTCAGATAAAAATATGTGCAATACTATAGTCTTAATAATGTAGTCTCTAAAGTTTTAATATAGTCTCTAATGTAATACTAAAAATGTATATTATTATTATATTATATTATTACATAATATAATCACTGAAATGCTTTTTAAGTCAGCAACAACAACAACCAAGTTCTACAGTAGCCAAAGTGGTGTAGTCTGAACCATTACCGTTCTTTATAAAGTAATGCACTAAGTTTTTTTATTAAATGGATCTATTAGGATATTAGTGATTTTTAAGTTTAATTTTTGAGAAGGCGCTTGACACGATATCTTATACTGTTTTATTTAAGCATTTCCTTTGAACATCCATATCTGAATCGACAAAGTTATCGATCAGCAATTACATTTTAGCTATAATAGTACTTGTTATTGTTTTGGATTAGGTGTTAAAGACCAGAAAGTTGAAACAAGGTCTCCTTTTATCCTGACAGTGTTGTTTTCTTAATTTATTTGAACACATTTATATATCTAGAGTCTAGATTCTAGACCCCTAGTTACCTAATGTTAGTAAGAGTTATAACTTATTCAGTTTATTGCACAGTATTCGCCACAAAGCAGTTACCATTAATATTATGCATCAAAACTAATTAATATAGAAATCTACAACTATCCCTGACATACCTGACTTTTTAAATATTATTCGGTGAATTTAGGATGGCCACAATAACAAAATCCAAGATTGTGGATGCTGTTCTATATAACACCCTAATATTTCGACCTTTGAATGAAGCCTCTATCAATAAAGTAACCTTTTCTGCAGCCACCGTCAATTCATTTAAATTGGTAATAACGTTTACAATCAACACAACGGATAAAACGCAGACATCATATACCCAATGGCTATTTTAACCTGTGTCCGTGTTGCAGGTCTATATTTTAAGACAGATAACACCACCTGTACAATTGTGAATTCATTTGTTACAAAGAAACTAAGATGTCAAGATTTCTGAACCTAGATACAGATTAAACTAAATATTCATATACGCTCTCCTACTCTTATTCATCTTCGTATCCTACTATTATGTTTCCTCTAATAAGGTGAGCTTACCCCACCCTGAGGTGGCAACAAAATAAAAATTGTCTACACATATTTTTAAAGTCGACTATTTAAAAAAATGTACATGTAGATAGTTATCGTTGGAGTAGAGTAGTCTTGTTATACTTTGTATAAATAGTTAATAATTATAAGATAATAGTAAACTATTAAAAGATGAAAAGTGTACTTACATTATTCGGACTTACCACGTGCGAAAACGTCACTGAATCTATTGGATTTTCAATTTGAACTGCTCTGGTAGCATATGTTTCTAAAAGCAAGTGTTCAATATTTAAGTCCTTGACTTCTTTTATTCGTATTGTTTGCGTGGGATCAAATATCTTATCCATATGATTTGGAAGATTGACGTATATCTCCTTAACAAAATTTAAAAAATGTTGAATCTGTAAAATAAAAATGTTTACGTATTAATATGGTATTGAATGAAACAGAATTATACAAACTGTGTATTTATGTGCAATAAGACATTTCATTGTCATTAATCACAACTCTTTTTATGATTATTTTTATTATTTTATAACTAGTTATATAAAAAATATTATATTTACCTCAGGATTATACGATGGTCTGTAATGTTTATGTAATTCAATTATAATTCGAAGACAAATCAAAACATTTTCTTCATTATCAACACGTAAAATTCTTAACATTAAAGAAATAATTGGTTTCACATGTTGCCGTAAGTTCTCGCTTATGGGTAGTCGATGAATCATTTCCAGTATAAGCTTTCGGACCTGAAAAAACAAATTTTGATAAATAAATATAAATTTTAATGCACTTATAATGTAGAACATATTTTAGTTAATATATTTGACAATATATGATAAGTATGAAATACTTTAATTATTACTGAATCCACTAAAAGAATTGCACAAATTGTCGTGTTACTCAAAGATGAACTGTCAACCACTTGTGGATGTATGACTAAAGAGACATCCATGAGAAGTTTTAATAAAAAAAGTACTTCGTGTTACTTTTATAAAGTCTCAGTTAATGGTTTTTCTCATTTTATATAATACATTTTTTTTAATTTTTAACCGTTCTTCTACGGAATAAGGAATTGTTCAAACTAGAGCGAAGCACTAGCAACTATTACATGTTTTATACATGTTTTATAAAAAACATGGGTACACATTCCTCCATGGGTACACATTCCTAACTGAAATAATATATAAATGTATCCAAAAATTGCCATTCAAATTAATTTTACAACTGCATTAAATATTAAAAGTTCTAAGAATGTAATTGGACACACATATGCATGAATACAAAAACTTTTATTATGATTATATTAACAGACTTAAATATATAATAAAATCAGCAGTTCTAATCATTATAATCTCATTACTAATAGTTAGAAAAAAAAGTTCTGCAGTATTATATGGTGTAATTTGATGCAATAAAAAAACACACTTACATGGTGACCAGCATTTTCTTGAATATATTGAGGTTCCCCTTCTTGTAAAATTCTCATAAAGACTTTGAGGGAGTGTTCCAGAAATGAAGGATAAGATGCGCTTTGTATAATGTATTCGAAGTTTTCGCTAAGTTCTTGAGCCGCTTTTAGTTTTATTTCTTCCTTAGCAGCGGCGTCACCGAGAACAGTAACATAACTTCTAAATGTGTTAAATTGCATTGTGTCATTCACTGCCATTTTTGTATTTATTTATATTTTCCAATGATATTCACATTATATTTAACTTAAATTCTGCAATATTCACGTTTGTTTACTGCAGCAAATTGAATAGAAAAGCATTTTCGGTACCCCGGTGCCAAATTAATGCGATACCAGTGTTGTGAAACAGTATTAAAAATTGCACGATATAGATTTGTTCGCATAATCTGCAAGTAAAATAGAAATTATTTTGGAATTAATACGTTATTTTGCTTCACATAGCAAACATAATGCTTCATGTAAATATTTCGTCTACGATAAGCTAAATCAAACAGACCATTCAATAATATATCTTCAAAAAATAATTCCTTTAAATATTAATTAAATTAAAATAATCTCTTCGATATACTATGTGCGTAATGTGGGTATTACGCATCATTCTTGATTGTTAACTTGGTGTGACGTTGGAATATACAAATAATTTATATAATAGTACATTATGTGAAACTAGATTATTATATTAAAACAATAAAAATATTAACGCCCTACTGAACCTTTCTATTCACATTTAGCTAATCCAAAGTAATCAGAAGAATATGAAAACAGATGAAAACAAAAACATATAGAAAAATACGTTTATATTCTTAACCAAAATTTAAAGCATTAATTAAAACACAAATTACTCTTTTCAAATAATGTATTTTTAAAATATATGTCCGATAATTGATAACTATTTTGATAGTAATCTTCGAGAAACTAACAAAATATTACATTATTGGAAAAATATATATTTATAATAAAAAATAATAAATATAATAAAAAAAAATTAATAAAAATAAATAAATAACTATATTAAAAAAGACAATAACAATAAAAATATATAAACATAATATAAAATAAAATAAAATAAAATGAAATATATAAACATATGAATTTTTATGTATACAATATATGTATATGGTATAATTATCAATTATTGCAAAAATATATATTATAGTACGTTTCCACTGCTTATTTAGTAATTTTAACTTACTTAGTTAATTTCATTAACCACACAAAGAGCTTCCATGCTTTTTCACTTACTTTAAAATATAGTAAACAAAATTCGACTAAACGTATACCAAAAATGACAAATACACCAAAATTTGATATATTTGACGCAAGAATCAAAATGTAAACATACACAAAAAATCAGGCAAAATGTAAACATAAATCAACAAGAGGTAAACATTTTTTAAAATATTTTTTTTTTATAAATTAAATATATAATTGATATATAAAAATAAGTTTTGATATTATTATACATTGTATAAATTTTTTGCATTTTCATGCTGAATTGTTTTCTTCTAACAATACAAAATTTAATGTCACCTGTTTACAGTTAAAATATAAACAAAGAAAAGTTTATCTACAACTAGAAATTTTTGACACATAAAAGCTCTTTCACATTCCTTAAGTAACTTTTGCTAATGTAAACAACAAACAGCTAAATGTTACTAAGGACGTGTGCGAGTTAGGCTAAGTTGATGCTAAACCAAATGGGAGATTTTTTGGGATTTTTTGCACTGCACATATTTAGCCATTTATCAACACGTATCGACACATCACTACATTATCGGCACAACTTAGAATTTCCCTCATTTAGAACGCAACTTAGCCTAACTCGCACACGACCTAAGTAACTTACTATGTAAGCAATGGAAAAGTAGTATTATATTATATAGATATATGTGATAGTATTACATATAATTTAATGAAAATATATTTTTTGGCTAATATTTTTACCTATATATATATAAATATATTTTACTTTTAAATTTTGTTATAATAATTAATTTTAAATATTTTAAATATTAAAATATTTTATTTAGAATATACATATATGGTTTCTTATACAAATAAATATGACCAAACTGTTGCTGTTTTGTGTAATAGCTTGTGTGAAAGGCTCAAATTGCGATATGTGTAATTTTTATCGATATTTAAAAAAGGTTTGTAATCGTAGCAGTGCTAAAGATGATTATTATGTATTTCAGCTAGACACAAAGAATACCGCCGCTGTTGGGAATAATAGTTAACAGCTTGAAACCGAGAAGCTATATATTTGATATATAAGTTTAAATAAAATACAAATTAAATGGAATTATGCCTTTAATATCAGCAATATTAGATATTATTTATCTACCTTTTAGTGTTTTCGTGTTCCTTTTAGTGTCGCTTTCAGCCATAAACAAATCCGTCGGAGTTCGAAGGGCATATGTCAAGCTTTTATTAAAAGTGTTTGAGGTAATATATTTTATTATAAAATTTCCAGATCTGTAGTGCTCATGTACTTCGTAATCTTCGCATTGTTTCATATCAATTTTATGTTTTAATACGCTTGTATAATGTATGTGTGAAATACCTTAAGCGGTGAATATAGTCAGTGTCATTAATATTTGCAGTATGGAAGACAAAGTATTGAAACTGCGTCAGAACAAATTAAAGACGGTGGACCAGTGGTTGAAAATATTATTGATGGATATAAGGTTAATTCAGCGAATCATTCATCTCAGTACGAATCAAATGACAAAAGTAAATCTAATGGAAGTGTGTTAATCAGTAGGGATAGCGTGCTACAACCTACATTACAAACAAACCATACATCAGCCAAAGACGGGGTAGAATCTACACAAAAGGTATTAAAATGATATATGCTTATATATTAAAAGGAAAAATTTCATTTAATAGACTCATTTCTACTACGTCAATATAAGTTTTATTGAATCTTTTTTAAACAATTTGAATATAAGTACATTAAAACAAGGTTAAAACTAAATTTTTTTGCCAAACTTTATCATTGCAAATAAGCCAAAATGAAGCACATCAATTTTTTAAGTTAATTTTATTGTTAACAGTGAACTGGACATATTTTAACTTAATTGCATAATTAAAGACCTTAACTAAAGATACAGAAGTTCATTAACGTTATACATTTATGAAATATTTTTTATGACACTATTTTATTACTTTGATAACCTTTATAGAATAAATGTATTTATTGTCACCATAAAGGAGGGTATATTGTAAAAATATTGGCTCCAACAAATTCAAATAAAATATTTTACAAAGTCCAAACTAAATTGGGACCATTTTAATCACAAAAAAAACTGTATATATATACATATACATGAAACCTTAAATTTGAATTTAATTGCTTTGTTTCAGTACCACACTTTTATTTTTTAAATTTTAATGTATATTGTTTATTCATATATATAACATAGATATTTTTTATAGTTGAAGGACGAAATAAATTTTGATTTAGAAACATGCCTTGACTACATTAGAACAGGTGTTGAAGCAATCATTGAAGATGAAGTGACGTCGCGTTTTGAAGCTGAAGAACTAAAAAGTTGGAATTTATTAACAAGAACGAACCGTCATTATGAATTTATATCATGGAAAATAACGTTAATCTGGATGATTGGTTTCACAATACGATATTTTATTTTGATGCCTCTACGGGTATTTGTTTGTTTTCTGGGTGTAAGTAACATCACTTATTTATCTTAAGCTAGAAAAATACCTGCGGCAGCAGCACTTATTAAGTCCTTAAGACGTGGGTCCATTGGTAGACTAACTTTAAACTAACTATATTTTTTATTAAATCAATTAAATTTATTTTTAAATATTTTTTTCTAAATTTACATGACCACAAAATTTTTTACTAATATAATTATTGCTATTACTATAGCTTTACTATTACATGTGAATTTTTTAACAATAAAGTGACAAAGCACATATCTAATTCCTATCATAAAAGCTATCATTTAAAGCTAATTAGATATTTCTATGATTTTTATAGTATTTTATTTTCTTCTATAATATTAATTCTCGGTTATGGAACTAATATAACTAAAATGCTATAGAAATATATTTACGTATTATTTTATTAGTACATACGGCATGAATTTTAACATCTCTAATTATTTTAATAATTTAGTTTTATATTCATTTACTTAATAATTTATCATTTTACATTATGATACTAACTCAATAGATGAATTGATAACTAAATAAACAATATTTAGCCAGTCGCATGTTTGAAAAGTTTTTATATATGTAATACTGCATAGCATAATGATTTAACAAGTACAAATTTATTAATTAAATTAATGTCCATAACTTAATTTAACGAATTTAACATATTAATCATGTACATACCTAATAAGAAAAATGAATCAGTGATTAATTTTGTACACTACATACTATACTTTTCGACATTATCTTTTGTACAATTTTAAGAATTTTGTTTCTAATTCTCAGCCTTATTCAATTACGGATCGAGTCTGCTTTTGTTCTATCTCCTGGTTGGCCGATCTCGTGTTATTTCTTGTTTTACGATCTTGCACTCTACGTCGTTTTTTATAATATTTTTTAGGTTTATCTAGCCCTCCTTTTTTATCTCCTTATTTGTAACTGGGGCGTCAACGTTATGATGCGTGGGTCAATGTCTTTCTATAAAATAGAATTAAAACAGATTAAAGTTTCAAATTTACAAATAAAATAACCTGCATATATCCTGTTGAGCCCAGGATATCTTACCCATTTTGTAATGCCATTTCAATTTTATTAAGATTTAAAAAAGCTTTATAAATAATGAAATATCTTAAAAAATGAATATTATTATTAGTAACCTATAATTAGTAACTATATTAGTAACCTATAAAAAGTATAAAAATATAGTATTATCATAATTACATAATTTTATAAAATTTATTGCTTTCAAACTTTAATTAACATTATGCGTATATGTAAATGAAATAATTATAATTTGTATTGAATTAAACTATTGGCTGTTGCCTTTGAAATATATTAAACCTTTAAACTATTTATGTAGGTCGCAGTTGCTGTAGTAACCAATAGTTTAGTTGCGTTCCTTCCATTTCAATTTTTACGGCATTATTGCGCTGATTTATCATATAAACTAAGTTTTCGCTTGATAACTGCTTCCTTATCAGCAGTGATTAAGTTTCATAACACGGAATACAAACCAAAAGCTTCCGGATTTTGTGTAGCTAACCATACCTCCCCACTGGACGTTGGTGTGCTATCAACTGATTGCACTTTTTCTTTGGTGAGAAAAGCAAGCTTAACCAATTTAACGCTTTCGGAATGTATTAGGTGCAAAATTGATGCTTTGTTTCGTTTAGTTTCGTTTCGTTTTGTTTTTATTTAATTTATTAATTTTCATCATGATCATTATTATATATTCTTGATTTGGTTTTACTGTGATGTCTTTTTTGTGTGATAATTTTTTTTTTGATTTTTGTATATAAATCATTTATATGAATTCACTGCTTATTGTGTGCGCCTATAAAATTTATGTTGTGTAATTCATCAGGTAGTATGGCTTACTGTATGTACAGCAATTGTTGGATGTTTGTCAGAAGGAGACTATAAACGTGAAATGGTCAACAAAGTATTAAGACACTGTTTTTCTGTGCTATCTAGTGCTATTTCAGCTGTCATAATTTATCATAATGCTGAAAATCGTCCCACAAAAGGTATTTGCGTTGCAAATCATACCAGCCCGATCGATGTGTTAGTATTAATGTCTGATACTACCTATTCATTGGTAAGTGATAATATTGTTAATTTAGTTTTTAACGCTTTTAAGTTGCTTTAAAATTGTACTTTTCTTTTATTATTTTTATTGCTTCATTTATATTTTTGTTATGGTCTATAAATTGACTATTTTAAATGATCATAAGTTGAATTTGTGTAAATTGTTTCTGTTATTTATTGTATAATCTGATTTTTAGAAAAATTGTTAAAATTATACAAATATATATGTTTTAAAGATTGGCCAGAGGCATGGAGGATTTTTAGGTATAATGCAACGTGCTTTGGCTCGTGCTTCCCCTCATATATGGTTCGAAAGAGGAGAAGCTAAAGATAGGCATGCTGTGGCTGAACGTTTAAGGCAGCATGTTTCCGATCCCAGTAATCCACCCATACTAATATTTCCAGAGGGAACTTGTATTAACAACACATCTGTGATGCAATTTAAAAAAGGCAGCTTTGAAGTTGGAGGTGTTATTTATCCGGTAGCTATTAAGTATGTTTATTTGCTTTTTTTAAATGTTTATATATACTTGTAGTTATTTCGAGTTCCCTCTTTTAATATAATAACGTAATTTGTAGTACTTTTTGTAGTTTTAAACGTTTATAAAAAGTTTTAATTATTAGTTTTGTATTATATTTTTTAATACAATCATATGAACATGTCTCGATACCCTAGCTTTTTTAAAAATTAACACATACTTATCATTATATGGAATTAATTTTTTTTTTAAATAATACAATCCGATAGTTATCAAGTATTTTGTTTTTATTTTTAAACGTTAATAAATGTCTGTATTTGTTTGGAGTTAATTTTTTATTTTTAAACGTTTATAACTACTTGTAATTACTTGGAGTTCACTTTTTAATATAATAATATTATTGGGATCTATTAAGTATATTTTTTTTTTTTTGTAAGCATTTATAAATACTTATAATTGTTTAGTGTTGATTTTATTATTAATTATATGAATGCTTTTTGTGAACTACTAAACGAAAAACTATCATAGTTTTTGTAGTTCTAAACAGTAATTGACAGAACTTGACTGTAAATTTAATTTAGACAAATGAATTGCAACATTGGGTCAATAGTTTAAAACATAAATCTACGTTTTGAATTTGAGAGGGTTCAAGTTCAATAATTTGTATTATATATTTACGAAACCAAATAATACTTTCAAAAGATGTTTAAATTTAAAGATGGGTATTTCAATTCAAAGATGGATGGTATTCAAAACAGCTAGCGCTGTATAGTCAACCTAGAAATTCACTTAATTAAAAAGAAATTATTCCAATAAATGTTTTTTACTATATACTAGTTTTCTATTTAAATTAAAAGCTATCATAAACTATTAACTTATAATATTTATGGATTGTTTTTATTCAATATTGCATAAAAACAAAAATGTTTTTTTTTAAATAAAATGAAAAAATCACACTTTTAAACTGTGTTAAATATTTAGTCATATTTCAATTTTTATACATAATTATTTATATTACAAATAGTGTATCATTATGCACTGAAGATAGCCGACGAAGTAGACCGAAATATCTGTAATATAAATAATTTTGTATAAAAATTAAAATATAACTAAATATTTAACACAGTTTAAAAGTGTATTTTTTTTATTTTATTTAAAAAAACATTTTTATAAATTTTTGTGTTAAATAAACGACCTAAGCCCAGTAACAAATATAAAAATTAATATTGGTCGTAATAATAATTTAATAAAACATAATTGATTCTTTCCTTTTAAGTAATAACATAAACATATATAATGAATTTATATATTTATGTATAACTTGTTTAAAAATATGTAGATATTTGCAATTATATTTGACAAATACAATAACTTTCATTTAATACAATTTTATAGAGACATTTTTGAAATCGCATATTTAATTTGATTTAAGAAATACTTTGTAATATTTTTGTTTGTATTCTAACGTAAAAGACACCAGAATAGCATAGACTAACATAAATCTAATTAATAAAACACATCGATCAAACATTATTAACAATATCTAATTTGATTTAAAAATTATTTTGTAAAATATTTACATATAAAATATCTGTATGAATCTGTTTTTTAATTTCTTGTAAAATAACTTTATATTTAATTAATTTTTAACACAAAATACAAAATTTTAATTATTAATTATTTTACAATATTTAGATATGATCCTCGATTTGGTGACGCCTTTTGGAATAGTTCAAAATATTCAATGATACAGTATTTATATATGATGATGACATCTTGGGCAATTGTATGTGACGTATGGTATCTGCCACCTATGTATAGACAAGAAGGTGAGTCAGCTGTTGATTTTGCCAATCGTGTTAAGAGTGTAATTGCAAAGCAAGGAGGTCTAGTTGATTTGGTTTGGGATGGTCAACTAAAACGAATGAAACCCAAAAAGGAATGGAAAGAAATGCAACAAATTGAATTCACAAAACGGTTAAAGGGAGACTAATTCTTATACAATTAAATATAAAGTGTACATGTACCCATCTAAATTAATTTTTATTTTTTTAATATTATATGAATAATTGTTTATGAAAGATTCAGTTAAATATTTTTTTCCATACAATGAAATAAATTTGTAAAGTTTTTGATGAAATTTATGTCAAATTTTTAATGTAAACTTTAAAGGTTAGGATTGAGCAAAATTGCTTTAGTGTCTAATGTTTAAATGATTTTTTATATCGTACATATGGCTTATATAAGACAAGATATGACAAACAATGCAATGGATTATATAAAATAATAATTGCTCGTCAGCTCAGCGAACTCCACAAGATAAGGTAAGCTCTTTAAAAATATGTTGTAGCTAATGTCATGAGAATCCTTAGTTACTAAAATCAATAAACTTAAAATTTCATACTAAATCCTTAACTTGTTGTTGTTGCTTTATGCTTTGGACTTGTAGTGTTTACCAAATACTACGCAAGTGGAGTGTTCAAGTATTATTTGTCATTTGTTTTCGATTGTGAAAAAATTAATAATAAAATGCAAAAAAAACACTTAATTTAATATTTTATTTCCAAAATAAAACAAATTATTTGATAGATATTTGACAAGGTGCTAAATAAACGTTTAGCAAACCAATATACTGGCAAAATACTTGCATAAGTATATTGTATGGACCCTTTAAAAAGCGGGATCACAATTCTGATAAGTTCGACAATATCAAAAACATTTCTTCCTTTTATATAGAGATTTTTGTATATAAAGATAATTTAAATGAATATTTAAATGTGTACACCAACTACAACAATTCAACATAAAAAATTTCTTTCATTAAAATTAAAACAATTAATTTACATACTAAAATATTTTTATTATATGTAATTTTTTGCTGTGTAAAATTACATTTCCTCAGTATTAGATTTTTCAAGCCGCTCTACAAAATTATTGAAAAAAGTTTTCAAAAAAAGTTCAAAATCCATATTTAGGATTACGTTTACTAATATTTTTCATAAAACCAAATAATTAATTTTGGAATTAAATTCCTACAAAAAGATCTAATATAATATATAAAAAATAAACATTTTCTAAGACTATGTTTCAAAAATATAGATAAAGAAATTAAAAATTATTTTGAGAGCTAACACTGAGATATATAATATATACATGTTAATTATAACTACAAATAAAACAATTTTTAATTATAAAATGATTACAATTTATCTTCGTATAGATCCATTTAGTGGAATATAAGGTGAGTACGTTGAATACATCTGATTCTGCTGCGCGCGTTGGAGTGCACAAGCATCTTGGAATTGTGTCTGCATATTCATAACACCCATTTGCATTGGTATTTGAGAATTTGGATATTCACTAGCCGATACATAGCCAGATGTCGCACCAGACTGTTGACTTGACATTCTATAGCCATTAATTGCACTATACGGTGTCATTAAATTTGGACTAATATGTACATTTGTCGTACGGCTCGATGATGAAGCTGAGGAAGCAGCAGCAGATATATGTTGAACTGGCGCAGAAGGTGTGTTACGTGTAGTTCTGCTAACATTTTGTGTAGGTGCTCCTGAAATTTGACCTATATTCATATTGGTGGAATAATACTTGTGATACTGCAGAGATGTCATTTGACTCTGTAACATATTTGGGGGTGTAGTAATATTTCTATTCTGCGTTACTAATAAATGCGGTGGTGGTGTCATCGAGTTATGCGGCAATGGATGATGAGGTGGTGGTGTCAAATTAACTTGACCTGCTGGAGAAGTGTTGCACGGTTGTACATCTAAACCATTTGTTAATTGCTGTAACTTAGACAGACTGCATAGATTTCCAACTAAAGTGGATGTCTCACCCGAATTACTTGCACTGGTCATTGTATCGGATGAGTTATTTGACAATTGCTGGTCGCTATTGGCTGATGTTGAAGATACCCCAGATGAAATTGTAGAGGACGACGAAACAGATTCTTGTATACGAGAAGGAGTACTAATTGCATGATTTGAGTTAACATTATTTTGCAAATAGAGATTATTAACTGCACATGCTGATGGTGATTGGTCTTGTCGTTGGTGTGGACTGGAAATAGGGTGTGTCATACGTTGCTGTAAAACTGCAGGCATCGAAACTAAATCATATGATGACGAAGAATTTCCGGCATAATTTTGACTTAGTTGTGGTAATGAAATATAATCTACATGTTGCATGTTCTGATTGTGTCCATGTTGATCTCCTAGTTGTGAAAACTGCATATTATGCATTTGTTCCTGGTGTGCCTGTGAGACACTTTGATGATTATTTAAACCCTGTTGTTGCGTAACTGAAGACGATGACGAATTGCCTGATGAGCCATTTTTAGCAACACGATATTGATTACTAGTCGACGTGTTGACATTACGAATTAACTTTGAGGGAGACGACCGCTGAGTAGAATTTGAGACACTGGTAACAATTTCACTCTAAATAAAATATATAAATAAAAATTAAATGGTATGTGTTAGTAAATTTAAATGTGGAATATGTAAATAAAATAAACATTAATTTCTGAATCAGTGAGTTTCATTTAACAAATAGACTAAACACCACACAATATAACAGTTTGTGTGCTTTGATTTTTATAAACAATTTAATTAAGTTATTATTTATATTTTCATAAATACGACTGCAAAAAGAATCTCAAGAATCTTAAAGAATCTCACCAAGTCAGATACTTAATATTGCATCAGAAATACAATGATTAATCATTGTTAGTTCCAGCAGCAACCAGGTGCACATCTCGAAACCACTGGGGCGACAAGGGGTTACTACAACAATAACAATATTTATAATTTGTACATTTATTTGTTCATATTATTGATATAACCGCGGATATATCTTGAAAAATAAAAGACACCAATTACAACAAAGAGTTAATTTTAGAGCTTTAGAATTGAAAACCTAGAATTTTCTTTCGTTAAGAATAATAATTGACAATGCATTGATATTTAAAATTATAAAAATCGTAACATATGAAATTTATATATAGTCAAACTTCCATAATTCGAAGTACCATTTTGCAAAGAAAATGTTGGACTTATGGAGACTTTAAATTAGAGAATTTTTTTATTTTTCTTTTATTTTTGAAAGAAATTAGAATTACATTTTAAAATATTTACTTATATATTTGAAATTAAATACAGCACAGAAGTTGTACATCTAAACCATTTCTGAAATAATATATTCAGAAATTAGGGTTTGGGATTTTATTTTTTTATTAATTTTAAGTAAAAATAAATTCCAATTTATTCCAACCCTTATAGTGATTATCAGTTGTAGTATCATTCATTTGCAAATAAAAATTCAGAATCTTGAATGAGTCTTCTACTTTATTTTTGGAAAGCTGACGAACAGTTTCATCTACCCAACCGTCATCATCACTTTCCGTTCCACCTAGAATCGGATCCACTAATTCAGAGCTATAATACTCAATAATATCTGTTGGAAAGCTTGATGTACAAATTTCATTGTCAAGCTCAATATAATCATTAAGAATAGCATTGGAATTTATTATATTTACTCTAAACCAATCTGCTAGCGAGATGTTCCTATTGGCACGTGACAATACTTTTATTCAAGTTATAGAGAAATTCGAGTTAAGGAAGCAGATTTGCATGTGATTTGCTCTCTAAAACCCTGTTGCACTCTTTTCAGTTCGAGTTATAGAAGTTCGAGTTATGGAAGTTTGACTGTAATTAATAATATATTTATACAATCAACTACTGAAATTAACGACTCATTTATAAATTTTTTTGCTGATAACTTGAAATAAATGATGATAAATATATATTATGTATATATATTATAATGATATATAATCATAATGAATATGTTGAGGATATATATTTATCAACAAAAAACAAATACCTTTGTATAGATTCTTGTGCATTTCTTGAGACTGAATTGATAATATATACCTGTTAAAAAAATTATTACACGACAATGAAAAAAATATATAAATTAGCAATGATATACATCTAACAATAGGTAGAATACCGGTAACAACAACATATTACAAAAATTTGAATAAAAAGATTACCAAAGATAGCTAAACATCTTCATAAACTCAAAACTAGATTATTAAAAATAATAATAATTTAAATAATTTATAATTTAAATATGATTTGCCCGACTATAAATTATGGGAAAAAAGGAACAAAAATATTTTAACAATATAAAAGCCCACCATTTAAAAAATTCTTTAAAAACACATTTTCTGTAGTAACCTTCTATAATGTGCGTTCGAAAGTAAACAGTACTTTTTATGAAAAGATATTTAAATAGCCAGCATTAAAAATATTACATACATCGGTAAGGTCAACAACTCCAAGTATTTAACTGAATTGGCACCATGTGACTTTTACCATTTCAGAAAAATGGTTTAGCCAATGAAAATAAAGCTTTTTATAAAGCTGAGGATATGATTTCAGAAAGCGCAAATGGCATACCCTGCTCTGCTCCTCCGGTCTGATGTATTTAGTTCAGTATGCCTGACACTAATAAAGTTTTATACACTAAGGTTAAACTAGGTTACAGTATGTTATAATATAATTATATCTACATACATTCACTTAGCAACTTCGAAGTGACGGTTTTATTTATATGTAAATATAAAACTTTATATTTTTTAAATTATTTAAATTTATTTATGGTTCAAATTTAGCAAGGTTTAATTTCTGACACTTGCACTCCAAAAATTATGGACAATTAAACCAATAGATGTTTCCAAAAGATTACTGATAATGAATATTTGACGGTATCTAAAGCAGCTTTAGGATGAACCCAAGAATTCAAAAATATTCCCAAATGTGAGAATTTTCGAATAGTGCCAAATATTCATTATCAGTGGCCTTTTGGAGATCACTGAATCTTGAAATATATATATATATATAGTGTTATTATGAAAATAAAAAATATATTACCTGTGCAGAAACTTTTCTGTGTTGTTGAGAGTGCTGAGCATTATTTAGAATATTGATGTTTTGAGTTGCTGTTGGCAAGTTCATATTTATACCAGCTTGTTGCTGTTGTTGAACGTTAGATGTATGAATTGCCATATGCATGGGTGTACTTGACGATTGATTGTGCATGGAGCAATCGGGAAATTGTTGTGTCTGATGCATTTGTATATTGGATGCTGGCAATGCTTCAACAGAACCTTGTGTAACATCACTTCCAATACTTGCAGGGGAATCAATGCTCATCTGTACATTCATACCGCATTCATAGTTATGCATGTTAGAATTATTATTAGATTGCTCACTGTTGTAAACCACTGGTTGTTGGTGTAATAATTTTGATTTGGACTCATCTGTTGAAACTGGAATTGGACTTATATTTGACTCCTTCGATTTTTGCGAAATTGCTTGAGCTGCAAGTATATTTTGAATCGAAGATGATGGTAAAAGCGCTGAGGCTGAATTATAGAATTTAGTATTAGCATCTTGTAGTAAATTCAAAGATTTAACATGTTGTGATTGATCTTTATAAGATTTTGATTGTGATGCATTTTTTTGATTATACGTTTGATTCTCTGCAAAACCACATGCATGAGATTCTTCCTGCATTAAAGCATTTAAATTCCCATTACCAACCCCCTTATGGCCATCCTCTTTTTTATAGTTATTAGTTTTCTTATCCGTTCTATGTTTATCTTTAACATGCTGTTGCATGTGTTGATGTGCATGATGTTGTATTGCCAAATTTGGAGATGGATACAAATTTTGTGTAAAATTGTGTCCATATGCCATCTGCGTAGCTAAATTCTTATGAAATTTATTTTGATTTTTTTGAGTGGTCGCTTCTAAATGCGAAAAATTATAACTGTAATAATCCCATTGCCAATACTGTGAAGTAGGATAATTTGGAATCTGATTTAATTGAAATGGAGGCGTTATTTTGTTAAGATCCATTGAATTAGGTATTTGTGTATGTTCAGCAGGTTTTAATTGCATTTTTTCATGAACGGATATTAATGATGGGTCGAGTGGTAATGCTGACACATTTTGTATATTTTTTTCCTCCTCTTTAATTTTTACAGCAGATGTTGCCACAGATATTCTCTGTTTTTCTTTATATGTTTTCTCAATATCATTTTCCATTTTTTCCATATGCTGCTGTTTATTATTTAGCGTCGAATCCGGAGACGATTTTATTTTCATTTGATTTTTCTTATTTACACTTCCGCAAAAACTTTGTGATTGTAATTGTTGCTGTTGCGGTTGCGTTTGCGTTTGATTAGTTTCGATCAATTTTTCTATAACTTTTTCCTCTGATTTACAAGATTTATTACTAATTTCATTTGTATCATTTTTTATGATATTATCGTTCGAAATAATAGCAGTTGACATGGGAGTATTTGCGGAAGTTTCCGTGCTTTTTCTTTTAGATAATTTTTCAAATTCGGCAATACTTTTGTTTTCAACAATACTTTCATATTTTTTCTCTGTTACATTTTCGTTTAAATTAAAATCCAAGTTTTTTGAACCGTTATTATTATTATTTTTTGTATCCAAAACATTTGAATTTTCAGTGTTCTCCAATTTTGGGTTCTTTTCATTAACTGGTTGTTCTATCTTTGCTTCTTTTATATTTGAAGGTTCTGCTACCATTTTTTGCGAAGGTAAAACATCTTCCTTGGTTACTTTTTGATTACATAAAGTATTATTTTCATTCTCAGTTTGCGAAATTACCGACTGCTCTCTATTAGTAGTTACCTGAATTTCAGTTTTAGTCACTGGTTCGTCTGCAGGTGTAGCACTACTAACACCAGCACTACTACTACTAGCACTACTTAAATCTATTGTAGTTGAACTAACAAAAGTTTTGCTTTCCGAATTCGGTTTGCTTTCATCTATATTATTTTGCTCCACATTTTCTATTTGTGCTACTTTTTGGTCACATTCTATATCCGTTTTGGTATCTTTTGAGTGTGATAAATCATTATTAGCAACTTCATCGCATTTATTTGTTATGCTTATTTCGGGAAACAGTGTCTTTTTAGTTTTTTTCGCTACCGCTTCCAAAAATTTTTCATCATTATCTAATGCCGTATTAACATTTTTAATTTCAGTTTCTTTTTCTTTATCTATAGAGCTAATATTTTGATTTTTACTAACAGGAATATCTTGACTTTGATCTTCAGTAGTTTGATTAGTTGTGCCAGTTGTATCAGTTACAGTATGTTTTTCCGAAATATTTTTCTCTCCAGATTCCGTGACAGTTGGTTCATTCAAATTTTCTTGGTTTTTTGTGCAACATGTCGCGTTTGGATCTATATAATTTGGATCATAATTTGTTCCAGATTTCTTACCCCTAAGTTTTGGAACTGTATTAATTGGTTTCTCATTCAAATCTGGTTGAATCACATTTTTATTATTTACTTGCTTATTCTCATCTATGTCTGATGGCTTTAAACCACACAAATCTATTTTTATAACTTCAGAGGGTTTATTAGAGGTTTCCTCAGATTTTAATTCATTTTCTTTACTCTCTTTCTGCACTTGAACAGGATTATTATTTTCAATAGTACTCTCTTGTTTACTAGTACTTGTACTTGTACTTTGTTTGCGATTAGCCAAACGTTGAGCTCGGCTTGTCGGTAGTTTTAAGCTTTCTTGTGACTCTACACATTCACTCTGCTCTGAAGTGTTTGCCACAATTTCATTAAATTGCTTTCCACTGTCGGATTCATATAAATCAGTTTGTGGGCTTTTGAAATCATTAACTGACTCCTCCTTATTAATATTGTTGTCCAATTTATATTTCTTAAAACCTTTCTGTTTCATTGCAAATACTTCCGCACTAATGCCTCGTTTACGCACATTAGGAATGCTTTTAGCAACTTCTGTATTTTCAGAAGTTTTATTTTGAGTTGTTTCATACTCAAAAAAGTTCGAATAGCCATAATCGTTTTGATCAGACTTCTTTTGAACAATTTTATCAATTTTATTTATACCTTTATATTTGGGCTTTTGCAGTTGACTACTGCGAAAATTTCGGAAATTATTGCAATTCTTTCTATTAGAATTTTCTTTTATACCAGTCGGTTTCGAATATGCCTGTATTTTTTCGGTTTTCATATCTTCCTTTAAGCCATCGTTATAATTAAAAAACTCATTTCGTTTTTGTTGTGCTAATTCTAGGGTTCCTGAATTAGTATTTGTTAATAGTGGACTCCATCTTAAGTTTTCTGATTCAATTGGTATTCGAGTCCTCGAATTTTGTAATTTTTTATATTTAGCTTGTGCTACATCCCAGTCAACTATAAAAACGGGTTGAAAACGTATATCGTTTTCATTTTTTCTTACTCTTATAAAGTTTAATAGTTCAAACGTTAAAGATATATCTGGTACAGTTAAACCAGTTTTTTGAGAAATATCATAAAGAGTTATTTTAGGAATATTTCGGTGATCATACAAATACTCAATTATAATTGACTTCCAATAAGAAAAGTAAGAAATTCGGCCAAGATCTGATAATGGCTTTTCAGGTGTACCTAATTGCCCTTCTTCACGGCTCAAAAGATAACTGAAGTCAATTAAAAATCTTCCAAATCCTTGTCGCTGATACTGTGGCATTGTTAGGATACAAGACACGTTAAATTTTTGAGAGCAATGTTTTTCTTTGGAAAAATATCCAACAAAGTGACAACCTTTCTTATCATTTTTGGTTAAAACGTAAAACAAAAATGGTTCCACATCATAATAAAGAGTTTTGTGATCCAAAAATAGTTTCGCCAATAAACACAAGTTTTGACAATATATTTTATTAACATTGCCATCAACTTCGAATACAGATATATCTTTTTGCCGGTAAATTTCTGTACCAGGTGGTTGACGCCATGTACATTTATTTTGATGTCTATCCAATACAGATCTACTTTTTGTATATTTAAGACAAAATTCGCACAAATATAATTTCGGTAATCTATAAAATAAAAGATAATTTTAAAATGAGCTATTTTGATAAATAAATAAATAACCATATAAACAAATAAATTTTTAGTAAATTACAAATATTTATATCTACTGCGAATAATTTTTATAACTTTTGAACACATAAACAATCTATAAATCGTGTGTGTAAAATGAATACTGAAAATATTATAATCAAGAAGTGGATATAAATTGATGAACCTGTAAAATTTCGCCTGTGTTATTTCATTAGAGGCAAATATAATTTCAATTGAAAAAGAATATCAATACAATTAATTGCAATTTGTGAACTAATAATTTGTTTATTGAATTGTTTAGATATTTGATTTGCAGATGCGAAAAAACCAAAGTTTAAAGCAAATAAGAAAAATGTTAATTTGAAATTCACTTAAAAAAATACCTACGATATAGCATAGCTGCACTAATATGAAACTCTCGCGATACTGTAATTAACTAACTTAAATGTTTATAAATAGAATTAATTGTGTTAAATATTATAATAATATGGTCAGGCGTAAGACCCTCATAGACCTATTGTTCCCTAGTGATACTAGGTAAAGCTTTTTTGCGAATCTATAGAATCTATAGAATGCTTCAAGTTCCATTTCTGAGTTTGTCACTAAATATTTCTTAAACATTTTTTAAAGCATGTTTTTTTTTTGGTCCATATATTATTGATAATTGAAACCAAATTCTGTGTGCTATAGTTTCAGCTATCAAGGTGGTCATAGGATTCTTAAAATCGCTTTCTTTACATGTATTGTTAATTGCGTTAAATTGTTATTTACCTGGCGTACTCTTGAGGAAAAGGACTTGAATACCAAGTATCAATATGCCATTTTCCTATTTCTATTGATGCAGGACATCGTTCCGAAACACATTTGTTTGGTGATACTTTGGCATCCATATTTGGGTATTTACATAGGTCTTCTGCAACTCGTTTCATTGCCGATTCTCTAATATTTTGATATACCGTCACATCACTTGTTTTTACTCCAATAGGTAGTTTATCCATATCTAAAGATTAAAGAATATATTATATTATATATAAAATTTTATAAAAATCAAATTTACAACGAAAGTATTTTTTTGTTTTTCTAATATGTTTTTTTTTTGTTTTTTAATGAAATATATCTTTTAATAACGTGCGAATTATCGATTTTTTCCTAGTTCATACTTAATTTAAATGTATAGGAATAATAATTATTATACATTAACTGTAATTATTAAAGTCAAACAAATATTTACCAAAACAATTTCTTTCAAATCGTTCACTTAATTCTTCCTTTTTCACTGTATTATAATCTTCATTATCTGCTTTTAACAATTCTTCATTATCGCCTTCTTTAGAATAATCCATCTCCTTTAACATTTGATATTTAATAACCGATGTTTTTGCCAAATATGGAACTTCGTTTTCTTGTTGGGAGGAAAATACACTTCTATTTTCCAACGGTGCTGATTTTAGTTCTACAAACTTCTTTTTTACTGTACTGAAAGTTTTTTGGGAGTTGTCTTTAAGTGTTGATTTCGACTTCATTTCAGTTGAAACTTTATTTCGAATATCTTTTTTATTTTCTATATTAAAACGATTTGTATTAAATGTAAATATGTTATCTTTTTGTTTTTCCTCTAATCCTACAAATTGCTTTGGATCAGAGCCAAGTGAAACGTCATTATTTGAATTTATTTTTCTTAGATCATTTGTCATATTTCCATATTTAGGTTTATTAAAACATTGATCTTTTTCATTTTTACATTTCGAAAATATATCAGTTTTATTTTTTGCTACTGCAGCAAATCCCCAATTTTGATCTTTTTGTTCTTTGTTGTTAAAGACATTATTACCTTCTGATTCTTTCAGCACATTGTTTTGTGTAAATATATTTGATTTTGTATCACTTTTGTCCGAATCATAATCATCATCATTTTCTTCATCATTCTCATCGTCATCATTATCAAAGTCAGTACTTTCGCTGCTGCTTTCACTGGAGTCAGTTGCAGAACTAGATGACGAACAGGAACCAGATGAAGTTCCATCATGGTCATTACAATCTGCATTGTCATCATCATCACTATCACTTGAAGAACTTGATGTCGATACTTCAGATAATGTACGCTTTCGACTAATTTGTTTGTTATCAGGATCCATTTTAATAGAACCACTTAATTTCATTTTTTTTTCTCCACCCAATACTGAGCCTAATGTTAAATTCTGTTTGGATAGATGTAAAGATGATATAGCTCTATCACTAGTTCTGACATTTTTGCTCTTATCTAATTCCAATTTTATGAGTTGCGACGTTGTTGGGTTATCAATTGAATCCAAGTTTATACGTTTAGAAGCAAGTATTGTTGTCTTCCTTTCTTTTAATCTAGAATTTCCCCATTTTCTTTCAGTACCGCTTGAAATTGAATATTCACTACCCTTTTGTAGCATATTAGCATTACTGAAACATTTTTAATAAATTATCATAAAATTATCATGAACATATTTTTTCTAATTTCAAATTATATAAATTAAAATAAGTATATTCAAGTTTTATTTACCGATTCCTTGGCGAATCCATAACCTCCTTTTTTACAATAACGCGACTCAAATCGTAGTTATTTCTGGTACAGTTTTTACATCTTAAAAATTTAATATTCATTACAATATAAGTACAATTATATAATCATTATAATATTTACCTGTAAGGATGTTTGGGTTTTTTGTCAGGCACAGTATCTAAACACGTTAAATGAAAATTATTTTTACAGATAGAACATTGAAGCAAGCAGGGACCTTTATCGCGACTATTACATACACTACATTGACCACATGATTGACAATTCCAAGTACTTCCTTTGGTCACTAACATATAAAGTAAGACGTAAGATTGCGACTTACATTTCCCAGCAATGTTTGCGCAAGTTGTATGCAATGAAATACCACATTCCTTGCAAGAACTAAGTGGTTCCGGAATGCCATTTTGATTTTTTTGTGCATTACCCAAACAGTTCATGCAATTTTTATCACCCTGCACCATAAAAAAAATTTAGAATTAAATTAATACAATATTATTATTTCATAAAAATTGGATTATTTTTACAACTAAAATTAATTATGCTTACAGTTTCAACAGTTTCTACATTATTAGTTTTACGTGGTGTAGTTAAAGATCTTCCTTTCTTATATAGTTTTCCTTCTTGTATAAGATAACCAGTGTCGACAGCTTTTTTAATTGAAACTTTAATAACTGCTTTAAAATCAACTCCTTCTCCAAGTTCAACATTATTAAACTTTTGTACGTAATTTTCAATGCTTTTTATTGTTGATCCTTCACATTCACCCAAATCATGAACAGCTTTTGCAACAATTTTGCACAAATTTGTATTTTTCTCAACTTTAATACGACGCTTAGCCATAGGTGCTTTGTATGAATGCAGACCCTTGTTATAGACTTTAATAACAGCACCAGACTCTACGGCTTGTTCCAATTTTTCAGCAACAATGTCCTCATGAAATTTGTGATGTGTTCCGATTGCTTGACAAATACGTTGAACGCTTGGTCGCTGCTTTTGGGATCGTATTTTTGTGATAGCATCTAAAATCCATTGCTTCCAAACGTCGAAACTTATTTCATGAGCTGATTCTCTCATGGTTAGTAATTAAACTACAAATATATTCAAAAATTAGTATTTTACTTAAAAATAAATATAATGGATTCCATGAATAAAAATGTGTATACAGAAATATATTAAAGTCGTATGCAATCAATTTATATATAGTTTTGGTTTATTTTATATTAAGTTTTAGTAAACGAAAAGATATATTAACGTGTTTTTAAAGAGTGGAATAGATCTCTCACATTAGTTATTATTATATTTACTCTTAAGTAAGAAATGTGCAAATGCTATTATTTTCCTGTGATATTAACAGCATGCAAATTTGCTTAAATGCAAAATATTCAAATCAAATTAAAAATTATCTATCTAAAGAAATACACTATCCCTAGAAGACAGCGCATTGAAATCTACAAAAATTTTTTACTTTCCGTGCGTTCTGACAAATAATTATATATGCATATTGAATCTACCTTAAATAAATTAGGATATATAACTAACACTAATTTTACAAAATTAAGTTAAAAGCATTTATTTTTCTTTTATCAATACCGAAATTGAGTTATTTACTAAATGTATTTTTTTGTATGTGTAACAAACCAATATATATTTCACCCGGTCAGCATTTCGAATTTCTTTCTGTATACATCTTTTTTCAATTTTGCTGCATACTTATGTTATTCGTAATGTATGGGTGTATGTTTTCAATATGGTGTAGCAAGAAATTTACATTAATACCACTTATATGATAATATAATTATAACACTAACTTTTGTATCCAAACAGATATAACTTAAATATTGAATTTTCAATCAATACGATATTATTTGATACGAAAAAACTTATTACATATAATATTAGAGCAACCACACAATTTTTTCTAGACTCTTAAAACTTATCGTTACAATTAACGACTACTTTCTAAGAATTAGGCAATAAATTACTTTAGTGATGTTAATTTATTTATATGCGATTAATGTAATGAGGTGGCTTATTTTAATTGTATGATGCGTTTGGGTGAATACTATAGAAGTATTTTTAATACAGGTGAGGAATACGATTGTTTTGTGTACTTGTGTACATATAATCAGATATTGCAATAAAGAATATTAAAAATAAAATGTTAGTAATAAATTTCAGAATTTTCGGTTTTTAGGAGCAAATGACAATTTTAATACGTTTTAAAGAAAAAATGGCAGAAAGCAACATATTATATTTTATAAACCGCTAATAATATAATTATTACACTTTCCAATTTTAACGAAAGTCGTATAATTTTGTAAGTATTGTTAACAATTATTATAATATAATATAATAATAAATTAACATTAACATATTACAGCCCTTATGAGCTTTTTTTCTTGCTGGTTATTTTTGGTGGCAAATTGAGAGTGAGCATATTTACATTTCCTTTTTAATGTAAGCACAACCAAAAAATATCAAAACATTGTAAAAATAAAAATTAGTAATACTGATGTGACAGTCTACATAACATTCAGTTTCAGGATAACCCGATACATAACATAACATGGTCCTAAGTGGCAGTTATGCAAAAAGTAATAGACATGTCAAAATTAAAATTGTTTTTGTTTTCAAAATAAATTTAAAAATTGAGAGTAAAAGAAATATTTATTTAAATTTGGTCATGACAACGAGGCTTTGTATGGCTGCAGTTATATTGCATGCGAATTTTATGTTACGTGTACGTACGAACAAATCAAATGTGTGTAATCATATGTGACTAGTTACAGCTGCTGAGAAATATTCGCGTGACGGCTTGTCTTTCTCATGCGAATATTTGATTAAATAAAAAATTTTGTTTGAAATTCATGCGTTCGTGCAAAATTGAAGAAGTAAATAGTGAAATAGAGAAGTGTGTGTTATTTTTACGTAATTTTAAGTTTATAAATGGAAATAAATTCGAAAACATGCACTACTTTTAGGAATTGGATTTACACTATTCATTTTGTTCTTAAAACAAACAAAACAATGCTGTCAATTTCCATGCAATGTAACCGCAACATGCGATTTGTTCGCATGAGAAAACATATGTAGGAACGCGCAAGACAAAATTCGCATGCAGTCTCACGTTGAATAAAACAATGTTACTCAGTCATAAATGTCAAAATTTACGCCTTTTAGGAGCAAATTACTACAATTTTAATAGTTTTTTAAGAAACAACGCGTCATTGCAAGTTTGGCATATAATATTGAAATATGTACATATATTATAAACTGCAAAATCATAAAAGTTGAAGCTATGGTGCATTACTTTCAGCATCATTTAATTAAACTGCTGTACATATCTCTATTGAGCAATGCAAAAACAAAGATTTTTCTAATTCACTTTTCTGCTATAAAGTGACAATGATTACAGTGAGCAAACGACAGACTACAAATTCTATATGACCACAGATCCAGAAAGTATTAGAATCTAAGCATTCGGCAGTTTCGGAGTCCGAATGTAATATCTCGCTAATTCTCTATATTGGACAAACGTTATGTTTTCGTTAGCGGAAAGGAAGGCTAACCTTTTTACCTTTTTATAATGCAAACCAAGTTGTAGACAAAGAAAATGAAAGCTTTCAGCCAAACAATTGGCACATATTTGGTGACAGATGAGATTTCGTTTAGGGATGGTGCCATCAGAGTGTCATCAAGCTCATTTGAAGTAACAGTTTTATTTATACAGTGCAAATACATTCTCGATAGAAATCAATAACGAAAAAGCGCCTTTATTGTCTATTGAAAATGGAGATAATCAGATATATAGTATTGAGTTCGCATGCCAAGTATTTATGGCCATAAATATACTGTTCGTATTAAGAGACATACCGATTCAGGCGTTTGAATTTGATACTTAATAGCTCCAACTCCGCTCTCTCTCTCATTTTTTGGATAATCATCCATGATACCACAGCCCACCATAGTTGTCCAATAGTGATTTCCTTCGAAGTAACTAGACATATATTATCACTTACAATGCCACCAGCTTTGCATATTCAACCAACTAGATAGTTACGTAATACAGGGTCTAGACATACGTGTAGGCTGGTGGCTCTGCTAGCGATTTTACAGTCGAAATTATTCCACCGGAGATCATAGCCAAGTATCCTCTATAATCTATGACACTAAAATCGTAGCGTAGCGTGAAATCGTATGGTAAAACTAAAACCGCTAAAAAATATTGACGTGTTTCAGACCAACCGTAGTATTATAAGGTGATATCAGCTCGGATTGATATAGCAAAGGGGGATACTAGCAATTGTTAGCGGTTTCACCTGCAAATATCCTAATTAATTTCTATGTAAAGAATATTTCATAAGCTAATTACATTTTGAAAGATGTAGGAGTGCTTTTGACTAAGATTGGAACTATAAGGATAGTCACATGTATGTTTGCGGGTTCCGCTTACTTCTTATGCGATGATAAAAGCATCTCACCAATGAAAGTTCCAGAAATTATCGACACTTGTCGATGTACTGAGCGATAGTGGTATATAAGTTGTGTCGTCTGCAATGGCAACGTCAACAAAGTCTGTTGAATTACTAAGATCTATTGACTATAATTTGTAGGGCATGAGAGATATTTCGAGTTTTAGTAAACGTGCTATTTGATAGAATCCATTGATCACTTTCCATTCGTCTGTCCAGAACTATAGACAAAGTGACTACATTGCCCAGTAAATAATTTCAATAAAAACCTGGCGGATATAGCCATATAGGTAGACTTAATATCACCTAGAGTACCAAATGGTTTAGTAAGGATATGCCATAAAGTTATAATAAAAATAATAGTTAGATTATCTCGCCTACCTTAGCAACTTGAGAACACCTAAATTATTAATAAATGTTTTCGAATAAAAGCTGTACAATTTACATTAACATGCGGCCTGTCAACCTAATCTAATTTACCGGATTTTGATAACTTTCCCCTTATTGCGCGATTTGAAACACTTGGTGATCATACTAGCTGCTAATCTAGTAGGTAATATACTACCAATCTTTTTTAATAAGAGTTATATTACTGGACCCTTCACAGTCAAGGGTAAGGTTCAAACAACAGGTGCAAAAAAACAAATGGCTCATAAGCGAAAATATTAGAGAAGCTTATTCTGGCCAAGAGCGTCAGAAACTTAAAAGTCTCTTCAGGATTAGTAAAAAATTCATTGGATTTTTTCAGAAGGCCTACATCATTTGTTTTGACCTTGTTTAAAGTCTTGTTGAGCGTTAGGTAGAATATCACTATTTTCGCAAAAGTTGCACCAGCTAATCATTTTCAACTATTTGATTGATTTGTTATAGTCAGTGAAAATGGATAAATATACCATCCACCAGAACGCGGCAATTCTAAAATTCCGATAGTATAAATAATAATAATAAAAGTGGGTCATTTTTCAAGTCATTTTTAAAAGTGGGTCAAGTCATTTTTAATGAATATAATATAAGGCAAATTTAATTATTATTTTTTGAGTTTTATTTTAAAATGCGAATGATAACAGTTATAAGATGATTTTTATTTTTTTATTAACTGTTACGGTCCCTGACAAAAATCATCAACAACATGCCAACTTGTTACTTGTTCGTGTATTCAATGAAAATACCGTATCTACTAGTCAGCACTAGATGGCGTGTATAATTTTATTATTACTGTAAATAATGTGATAAATTTACAAGTTTAAACACAATATCTCAAGAATGAACTTTATCGGCAAATTATGCAGATTGTCAAATAATTGTGCCCGGAAAATCAGAATTGTGTCCACATCTATTACGAACATCTCGATAACTACCCGATAACTAATAATTATTATATCGTTTATTTGATTAAAGTTTGTTGCATTATTTTCACTCTGTGTTAGTTTCTGAATTCCTATTTAGCCGGCGATTACATGTGTTGTTATTTATTATACTTACTTTATTAATTAAATGACGAAATAGAAAAACACGTTCTTGATACATGAATACATATTACATAAATAATAATACTTTAATAACCTTAGCGTTTCAAAATGTTAAAATTAATTAAATGTTTAGGTAGGAAAAATTATATAAGATTAAACAGAGAGTTTCCTAACAACTTTATCAATAAACGTTCAGTTTTCCAAACAAAGGTAATCAATTAAAATACTTAAGTTTAATCGGATGGACCCTGAATTGCAATGATTTAGTTGGTAGCTATTTATATGAAAAATTATTACGAGACAACATTTATAATGAGAAGAATTTAAGAGATAAATTTGAAAATAATGTAATTTTATGTTGATTAACAATTTACAGAGCAGTTCAAGTAGCAATTGATTTTTTCAATTAAGTAAATTTTATAATATTTACAAGAGTATATAATGTTTGCACAATTTAAATTGAAAAGACACACCATATCAATTCTATCCAGGGCCGTTCTGTTAGAGATGAGTGAAGCTATTAAGCGTCCACGAAAACATTTCTGTTTTTTAATTTTAATAATGAATTATATTGCAGAATGATGGTATAAATGTACCGAAAACGCTAAAAGATGTCTCACCACAAACTCTTACAAATATGCAAAAAAAAGTGGGAATATGGCTCCTTGGATGCAGTGGAATGGTGTTCGGAGCTGTTGCGTTAGGTACATATACTTTAAAATTATTTAGTTTTTTAATAAATAACAAACAAAATTACTGCATTTAACAGTTCCAGAATTATTAGATTAATAGAATAATAGAGCAGACAAAAAATCTTGGGTTTCGTATATATTTGAATAGCTTCAAAACTGAATGTTTAGAATTCTCATTGCTTGTGTATTTAATAATAAAACTTTTAGTGCAAAGGTTTTGAATCTAGGTACAAACCAGTCTACGTCCCGGAGATACAATATTTTATTACAAAAATAAAGCGAATTAGAAATGAATTCGAATTAAGTAGAGTATTAATTCTGCCTTGGGGTTGTGAAATACATTAAACCATATCACACAATCAACTCTTTGCATCCATTTACTAAAAGTATTTTGGCATAGATGAATCAAAGATTTACAAGTTTTTATGACGAATTATTTGGTGTCAAGAATATACAAGACTTAATTCTTTAAATTAATACTTTGAAGGCTATCTATATAAAATGTGTTTTAACTTCTTTGCATATAATTATAATTATTTAGTAATATTTTTTCTCAATTTCCTCGTAATTTTAGGTGGAGTAACGAGACTTACCGAATCTGGATTATCTATGGTAACATGGAAGTTTATGGGAGAAAAAATGCCGAGAACACAAGTGGAGTGGCAAATGGAATTTGAAAGATATAAACAATTTCCAGAATATAAGTTGTAAGTAATGAAATGATTGTGTGTTTTTTTTTCTATATTTTTAATAATTTCATACCTTTTTAGAAAAAATAAAGATATGAGTTTAAGTGAATTTAAATTCATTTTCGCAATGGAATATATACATAGAATGTGGGGTCGAGCAATTGGTATATTTTTCACGCTACCTGCCGGTTATTTTTGGTATAAAGGATATTTCTCTAAACAAATGAAAGTGAAAGTATTATTATTCGGAACACTAATAGGCTTACAAGGCTTAATGGGTTGGTATATGGTAAAATCTGGCTTAGAAAACAGATTTCAAGATGTCAATGATGTTCCAAGAGTGTCACAATATCGATTAGCATCACATCTAGCGCTAGCATTTATTCTTTATGCATCATTTTTATCAACTTCTTTATCGCATTTATTACCAAAAGAAAAACTTCTGTCGACAATTCAAACTATGTCATTAAAAAGAAGTGCCCATATTGCATGTGGTTTAGTCTTTTTAACCGCTATATCAGGTGCTTTCGTGGCTGGACTAGATGCTGGCTTAGTATACAACTCTTTTCCAAAAATGGGTGATGATTGGGTTCCTAAAGATATATTAGCATTAAAGCCAATAGTAAAGAACTTTACAGAAAACCCAACAACAGTTCAATTTAATCACCGTATTTTGGGAATAACAACATTTGGTTTAATTTCTTATCTATGGCTTGTTGCTAGAACAAAGAAACTGCCAAAACGTACTAAATTGGCAATAAATACAATAAGTGCAATGGCTTGCATTCAAGTTAGCTTAGGAATAACCACACTTTTAACATACGTTCCAGTTACTTGGGCAGCAGCTCATCAATCAGGATCTTTGTTATTGCTATCTTTTGCCGTGTGGCTCATGAAAGAACTTAAATATTTGAAATATGTACCTAAATAGTGTATAAATAATTACTTTTATATTATTTTAATAAAAAATAAGAAAAAATAAAAAGTATAACTAAATTTAATTGATTAATTTTGAAATAATTTAAAATTTTTTTACATATAGTATTTTAACAGTTCATAGGGGGATAATTATTATATATCCACCGCTGTTAATAGTTGAATATTATTGTAGTAGTAATCGACTTTTTTTGTGCTTAAAAATGTCACATATATGACAAAGTAACATCTTCCTTTTATATATATTTAATTGAATGTTAGAGATGGTAACAACAAAGTGTACTAAAATATTCATTGTGAACCACAATGATAATGTGATCGAATATCTAGTTGCATGACCTTACCTTCAAAATGATCTGAGTTTTTTACGGTAATATAACAAGGCAATGGATCACTAAGAACACCGTTATAGCCTTATCAAACCTCATGTAAATTCGTATTAAAGTATATAATTATCATTCTAACAATTTTCACCTTAATATTATGCATGCCTTTAATATATAAGCATTTTAAAATAAAACTCCAAAAATAATAAATTTGCTTTACATTATAATTATCAAAAATAATTATTATGTGTCTTTTATTTTTTTCACGCACAAATAACTCTTACAGTCTTATAGTGTTTGCAAAAATAAAAGTTATTCCTACTTTTTATATTTTTAAGGCAAAAATAACGGTTATTTGTGCGTTTTAAAATAAAAAGCAGACTGTAAGAGTTATTTGTGCGTGAAAAATAAAAGACACATGATAATAATTATTTTTGTTATATAGAATATGAAGCAAATTTAATTATTTTTTGAGTTTTATTTTAAAATGCGAATAATAATTACTGTTACGGTCCCCTGAATAAATGAGATGTGAATTCGCAACTAATGAAAGCATTTTGAATAATTTAATGCAATACATCATTTGCATACATCGTTTAAACTGTTATGTAAAATTATTTTTGATTGAAATGGTTATAATAAATTTTGATTTAATTATAATAGTAATATACTATAGGAACATTTACTGTTTGCATATTGTTAAAATAGTTTGAAAATAAACATTTTTAGTTAGCGGTTTTTAGTTTTTTAACTAAGTTTTTGATATATTTATTACTTTTCATAATAATAATCAATGAATACAATTGAAGTTATTTAATGCGCTTAAGGAATAAAATTCGATTATACATAATGGTTAATTATGTACACAAACTTTATATGTGCATTACTTTTGCAATTTATTTTATTTTTCATAGTAATTTATTTTTAAAGATGTTGAAAATAAAGCTAAATGGGGAACACCATCCTTTGTTAACTATTTATTAAGTTACAAATATATGATGAAAATTTCAAAGGAAGGCAGGTTTTACGTCTGGTCCTTGAGTTACACTTGAGTTATTCTGACGAGACCAGCCTTGATTTCCAGAACTAACATTTGTATTCTAAATAGACAAAAGCTAGCTTAATGATTAGTTTCTTGAAAAATTTTTTTAATTACCTGTTGAGAATCATTACGTGGTGAATTTTGTTTATCATTGGTGCCAGGATTATTAGAATTACTAGAACTTTTTATACTGTTATTGCCGCTAAGAGGTCCCTGATGGCTTGGTCCATTTGCTTGCGCCATCCAAGACAAAAAATTTCCACCCTACATAAGAATTAATTGAATCAAATTATTATTATCATAGTAAAATAATGATGAAAGAATTTAAAACATAAAATCCTTTAAGTAGAGAAACTTAATTTGATAGATATAGATTTTTTTTCAGGAAATAAATTATAAAACATTTAAATTCAAAATAAAAATAGCTTTAAAAATATCATGCTTTTAATTAACGTAATTTGAGAACTTAATGAGATATCATCAATTTGTTATTCATCATTTTTTTTAACAATTAATTTGTTTTGAATTTAATAACTAAACTCCTATATATTATTAGCATTTATGGTAAGAATAGACTTCTTCAAAATATTGGAAATTTTATAATTAAAGATTTTTTTTGGATTCTATTCTCTAACATCCTAGTTGACGCCACTGAACAGCGGGTTTCTGCTTCCCATATTATTGTTTTTATTTTATAGTTCAAAGAATTACATTGTAAATTTGGGTTATTTTAAAAGGGATTAAATTTATTAAATTAATATTTGTAGCTATTTTAGAAATTTTATGTAAATGAGCTATTAATGTGAAATAAATTACTAGAAAATATTATTTACCTGTTGATCCTGTGACGTGTTATGCAACTGATTACCCAAAAGACTCCACTGGTTTAATGCAGCTGCTACTATTGCAGGATTCATTGGTAATGAATTTAAGTTAAGACCAACTCCTAATGGATTATTCATATTCTGACCCTGACTTGATGAGTTGGGACCTTGTGAATTTATACCAAGTGCCTGCAGATTTGGCATATCAATAGGACCCCTATTAGATTGCGTGTTCCACACGCCATTATTTCCACCATGACTGTTACCCATATAACTTGAGTTACCACTACGATTATAAGTCAACATATTTGGATCTTGTCTATTATTAGAACCATTACTTCCAATTAAACCATTCATATTAGTATTATTGGGGTTATTGAAACCATTTCCGTTATTACTACTTCCATTATAGCTATTACTACTCATCGGGTAGTTATTGGCATTCATTGACATATTATGATGATTACTATTACCATCTCCTCCTAATCCCTTCATGGGTTGACTACGTAGGTAAGCATTTTTTCTACTACCAGTATTTACATTACCGCTTTGATAATTCAATTGGTGTAAACCACCTGCTGCATTACTAATAGCATTATAATTATAATTATGATTTTGGTTGTTATTTCGGTTTTGTTCAGTTTTAGGAGCTGCGTTAGACACATGGACGGAAACTCCTGTAAAAGTAATTTTTAAATTCAAAAATTTTATTTATATATTTATAATTCGTCATAACTTTTTACCTTTTATTATGTGATCTTCACCGCATAGTGATTGAGCTATATCGGGATCTAAAAATGTAACAAAGCTGAATGCACGAAATGGTTTTGGGATGAATACATCAGTGACCTCCCCAAACTTAGAAAAATAATCCCTTAAATCTTCAGCATTTATATCCTCGGTACAACGTCCAACAAAGACTTTACATGGTACTTGATGTAACATTCCCTATTTAACAGAAATTAAAAAAAATTAATATATTTAATGATATAACTATATATACTTACTTTAGAATTTGGAACTTTTACTTCACACCAGCGACCATCAATTAAATGTCTAGTAGATAAAACACGCATTTGAACTTCATATGAACCAAATCTAATGAAACCAAATCCCTTAGATTGACCAGTCTTAACGTCTTTCTTAACTTGTGCCATCAATACTTCACCATATGATTCGAAATAATCGCGCAAGCTGTCTTCAGTTGATTTCCATGGTAATCCTAAAACAATTAAGTCGGTACAACGTAAACGAGTTTCTATGCGCTTTGTTTTTGCCGTTGAATTTTCTAAGTTATCATCACTTTTACGTTTGTTTTCTATGTATTGAGATTGCACACAGATATTTGTTATTAGTTATTACCAAATAATTATGATAAAAATATAATAACCTTTTGGAAAAACACAAAAGTATATAACATTTCCCCAACCAGTTTCATTTGATGGTGGAAAAAGTCTTCCCTCATTAGAACGGACTCCTCGTATTGCTTTTGTTTCTATATTTCTATATTTAAGACCACACGCACCAGGAAATTGACCTTGTAACGTCGATAGCAATAAAGTTCCATCCTCTTCAGAAGGCAACTCTATTTCTTCCTCTCCTTCATCTTCAGCCACTTGTACAAAATCCATGGTAGGGTGTGAAAATACTCAACGCTTTAGTAAGAAAAAGTTTAAAATATAAGTCAAATATAAACGAGATTTATCTAAAATAATAATTAAAATACTTTGCATATACCTAAGAACATACAAGAGCTATTAACATTACTGTTAACGCTTTTTAAAATACTCTCAAAAGACATTCAATAACTATAACTTGTGTATTAGACCCTGAGAACTAAACACAGTATCTTTTCAATTATACAATTCATTTTTCTTTTCATAAAACATATAGATTATTCATTCGGTAAAAAGACATCTTCATACAATAACGACAGCTTTGTACACACAGCATACAGCGTTGAATATACCAAATCCATTCGTGCCACTAATATATTTTCATCTTCTAAAAACTGTTAAATAATAATAAGGTATTATATTACTTATTCATTCTAATTCTTAACTTGAGAATAACACATTTAAGAATAAAAAGTTATTCTGATACATTTTGTTACACAATAAAATCATGAAACCCTTAAACAGCAAATAGTTAAATGGGTTAAAGCTAATATTTGCACCACACTATCCGAATATACTCATTAAACCACATGAAATACCATTTTAGTAAACTATTTTTGTTTTGGTAGGGCCTCGTAATGGTTTTCCTTTTGATTAGACTTTTTTGTTTTTTTAAGCATCTAAAATTGTTTTTTAATTTTATGTAAATTTGAATCTAATAATATGTACGAACTGACATTAACTTAATAAAATGAAACGAAATAACAAAATAAATTTTTTTCGTAACAATTTATTTTTAACTATAAAATAGTAGAGAAATAAAAATTTATAGAGTTAATATTTGTGATTTGGTTTATGGCGTTAATCAGCTTTCGTAGACGTCAATCTCCAATTTTAAACTTCAGCTGTAAAATTTCAAGTATTACAGTTTATAACATATATGTACATATGTTTGAGATAAGATGATAGTTGAGTGTTTGCATGAATGGAATGGAGATATTTACTCCGTAACTAATATTAACTAAATTTGCCTTAAAATGGACGCGAAAGGATGAAGAAAAACCTAACACATTTGCTGATTACCTAAAAGTGGTGTTCCAACCAAAAATTATACAACAACACATTATGACTTTCCCATTTAGCGTCTTGTTCAAAAAATTACCACGTTAGACTGCAAAAAGGTACTGGGATATAATAACATCTCACCCATCATGATAAAAAAACTTACTCCTTTGGCCATAAATTTTATCACAAGACTTTTTAATGAGATTATTAAATTTGGCTTTTACCCAACAGAGTGATAAACATCCATGATTATGGTGCATTAGAAGTAAATCGTATAACGGACGAAATAGGACACGCATTTGAGGTCAGAGAATATGGTTCCGTTGTATTTCTCGATATTAAACAAGTATTAGACAAAGTATGGCATAATGGACTCTTATACAAGATACGCTGTCTATTACCTGCAAATGTTTTGAAAAAGTAATGTTTAATAACATTGGCAATCCCTTTTTATATTCAACTACTGTACCATAATAACTACTGTAATTTTTTTCATCTCTAATAAAGCTTAGTTAAGGTAAAACGTGTTTTTGATTTCATCTGCGCTAACATGTTCACTCAGTTTTAGAATCGTATCTAAAGAACAGATGCTTTAAAGTCAAATGTAAATCATTTAGTTTTACTAATTTCCCAAAAGAAGCTGACGTTCCATAAGAAAGTGTTCTTGACCCTATCTTGTATGTACTTTACACATTTGATATCCCAATAAATAATTCAGTTGTCACTACAACGTTTGCCAATTATACGGCAATTTTATGTTAGCTTCAAACTAACTTCAATTTTATTTTTTTCACTTATATTGGGTAAAAATAGTTGTCAAAGCGGCGAATTAAATTGAATGAACTAAAATGTAAATGTTTGCCTTAAATCGGGTGAATAACATTTCTATACCACAAGCAGATAATATAATATATGAATTCAGGTATTTGGTAACGCTAGTGCTTCAAATATTGAAATTATCCAAAGAGCTCAGTCAAAAATACTGAGAACAATCACTGTTGCCCCATGATATATTAGAAATGAAAGCATTTACCGAGATCTACGAATTCCCATAATTGATGCTGAATTTAAAAACATAAGAAAAAAATACAATAAAAGTTAGCTTTTTATTGTACATCTTAACCTCTTAGCTAGGAATCTCGTACTTCTTTACAAGTAAAAACCCAACTCTTCTTAATGACCTGATTAAGCTCAATTGTTTTGAATAAACCTCCTAATATTTATTCAAATGAAATTTAACTCATTGATATAATCGAGGTCCGTAACATAAAGTTAACCATACAGTGGCTCACAGTTTATTTGATGCAGACCAAAATTTTTTGAAAAGTTTTATTTTTTCAAAATATTTCGCAAAATTAAAAAAACAAAGGTCACAGAGTTATTCTTTATAGTGTTTTAATTCATTTCCAAAAACAAAAACCCAAAAATCTTTTTTCATTTTTTAGTAATGCAACAAAAACCAAAAACAAATGAAAAATTCATTTCACAGCTTAAATGATGCAGTTAAGAGTACCGTTAAAATCGTCGTCATTTCAGACGGAAATAAAAATATTCTTATTTTGCGATCATTTGTAATCATATTTTTGAGGGAAAATACTAAAAAAATTAAAGTGGATGCATTTTATTAACCATGGGACGGCATACATCAACTGAAAAGCGAGATTTGGCATTGAAGCAATTGATTGTTTTTTTTTTTTTTAAATTCACAAAAGGCTTACTTCGAGCTATTCTTCGATTAAAATATGATTATTCCAATATTCTGTGGAGGGTTTCAGGATGACAAGTCCCTTTTGTCCATGTCTTCCAATTTTGGAGCGGTTATTGATGTATTTTTCGAATTTAGTCTACTAACCATCTCGATTCTTTTACTGTATTTGATTTTGATTAGGTGCTTTTCGTCCCATATTTTCTACACGATTTTTATGTAATAAGTGTTCAATTATGTGCTGATCTGTTGAAGTGCTTAGATTTACCATTTCAGCTATATTACTTTGGGAAATTCTCCAATGTCAATTAAAACACTATAAACAATAACTCTGTGTATTTTGTTTTTTTAATTTATATATTTTGAATATTTGAAAAAAATAAAACTTCAAAAAATTTTGGTCTGCATCAAATAAGCTGTGAGTCACTGTATATTATTTGATATTATACAATGTATATTTAAAATAAAAATTGTAATATGTAATTAATGAAAAGATTTTAGAACTTATTGCTAGTCTCATTATAAAATGCAAAATTTATTGCAAAAAAATGCAATAAATAGATGTATATTTAGTACAATAATTTATACGCTTTGTTATTTTTGTTGACTTAATTACTTTAGTAGATAAAGGTGAAGATTTTTTTTATAAATATTTATATTTTTGTAATATAATATGTTATAATAAATATTTTAATAAACATAATTTAAATTTTATGTTATTAACCAAATTTAACTTATATCTTTCGGATATATCTACCAATTACATAGATATAGATAGTCATATAGATAGTTCAAAGATAAACAAATTTTTTTTTAATTTTTTTTTTTTTGGGTTATGTCAATTTCAGTTTTATTTTAAAACAAAACACGTTAGCTCTAAGCATACATTTTATTTAAATTTTTTAATACAAAGAAATAAAAACAGCATCTTTTGAAAAAGTCTGGAAAGTGAAGGCACGACTTGAACGAAATCCACGTCATATTAGTAACCAAATGGCCAAAAAACTGAAAATATTCCAGCGAAGCATGCTACGCATATTCCAAAATGAGCTTAGGGTAAAGCATTATAAGTTCCAAAAGGTACAAGATCTGACATCAAATCAACATAAAGTTAGATTCGAAACAGCAAAGCAGTTGTTTAGCTTGTCCAAAAGTGTCGAATTTTCAAACGTTGTGTTCTCTGCTTAGCAAATTTCCCCATTGAGCAGTTCATAAACTCTCAAAATGATCGTGTTTACTTAACTGAACACACTCCCCAAAATACTACGAATGGCCACCCGAAGTAATTTTCCATTTCAAGCAATGGTATGGGCTGGTGTGACCACCGATGTAAGGTTTTCAATTATTTTCATCGTGCCTGGTGTCAAAGTCAATGAGAATTATTAATAGGAAAGTGTTTTGGAAGTTACTTTAGAGCCGTGGGCACACAAACATTTCGGTCGTAGACCATGGATGTTCCAACAAAACTTGGTAACGTCTTATAAAGGTCGTGTGAATCAGGAATGGTTAAAAAATTATGTTACACACTTCATCTCGTCAAACAAATGACTTTTAAATTCTTCAGATGCAAATTCGATGACCTATTCTATCTGAGCCATTTTGGAGAGCAAGGTGACCCAAATACCAGAAGATCACATTTGTGAAGTATGCAACTCATTTTTAATCGTTTGAAGGCTATAATTAAGACAAAATGTACCCACATCGAGCTAAAATGAATGGATTCTAAAATTTTGATTATTTCCACAAATTTTTGTAATTTGAATCAATAAAAAATAATTTCACACAAAAAAGATAAAGTTCCTTGAATAGGTAACAATTTAATCGCCTAACCCTGCATATAATTTCGGCAGTTATTCCGTATAGATCGTCTAACTATCTCACTAATATCACACATTTATCGTCTTTATCTATTTTGTAGTTCTGTATAGATGCTCTATGATAGTTTACTAATGTTATTCGTTTATCGTCTTCATCTCACCGGCAAAGAGCAATACTTACAGTTAATCAATAAAAGACATTTAACTACCTGTTTTGATAACAAATTCATAAAGGTCATAAATATTTTATTGACGAAAAATAATATCAATTTCGTTTTTCCATTTCAACGAAAAATATATCGTTAGATGTAAAATTTATTAATAAGTGCCGATTTTACAGCTGCAACTTAAGTCTTAATACTCGCTCAAGTCAACAATTCTGCTGCGTTAATTTATACTAAGGTCAGTTTTAAGATTTATATCACCATAAGGAAGTAGATCTAAAACAATTTAGGACTTTATGAATCCAAATGAAAAGCCCTCTTTATTTTCCTTAAAATTGCTAGTTTTTAAAAAATAAAATAAAAAGACCCTACATTCATTTAATAAAACATGCTCTGAATTAATAATTAACTATTATTTTTATGCAATTGTTCACCCTAATGGAATGATAATATTGGATATTTTAAAACTACATTAAATGGTTTTAATTACATATAGAAGCTTCTCTTTTATTTAAAAAAATATTTCTATTTTTTGAGACTCTTTAATACAGTAAACAAAAATATTCTCGACTCATTAATTCTTAAAATTAGTTCATAGCATCATTCAATCGATTTATCTTATTCATACATGACATACGCTTTTGATGAGAAAATTATATATATCTATTAAAAATAATTATTTAACCATTAAAATATACATTCTTAACACAAGCACATCAGATAACACGTTCTTTACGCACGTTTACTTTCACGTCACCACACTTCAGTTCTAAAGACGCTGCTTCACACAAAATTTTCACTTAGGTATATAAAGTATATATTTACAATTTTTCATTAATTTGGAGATACGCATTCATTAGACACATTTATATGCTATTATTTTGGGTTTAGTATAGAGACTTTTACAGCTCTTCGGAATATTGCACCTTACACCTAATACCGATTTCTAATAATTGGTTCAATAATTTATATCGAAACTTTAACTTATGAAACAACCAAAATTACTTAAACTGCAGACACAATCAATCGTGTTGTCAAACGAAATTAATATCAAACAGCCGCAGCATTCAATATCCAAAATGACCGTTCAAAAATATTAACTAATTGCCTGAATATTTATGAAGAACTATTTATTGAGTTCAATAAAGGAATTTTTGCAGCAATAAACATAAACCTGGAAACATAAATCTCAAGAGGGACGTTTCAATTTGAACACTGCGTGAGGTGGATAGCAGCACACGTGTTATTATAGTTAAAGGGGATATGTACTTACTTAAAAATAATTAAATAATAATATAAATGTTTCGTAATAAAATAAATTCCTTATAATATGTTTTGCACAAGATACAGAACAATGATTTTTTTTAATTGTTCAACCATTGGTTGAATTTAAAAATTTGATATTATTCGAAACTCTCTATTGAAGACAATAGTTTGTTTTCACGCTGGCAACACTATTATACACATTCTGTCAAAGTTTAACGCATATCGTACGAATAGTTTTTGTTTGGCGTCTATACAAAGAAGTCGAAAAATTTTCGTATGGCAATTTGAGTCGGGGGAAGAGGAAAAAGTCACACGGGGCCATATCTAGAGAGTACGGTGCTTGGTTGATGATATTGGTGGAGTTTTTGGAAAAAAACTGCATTTCATTTTTTGAATGAAATTTAGCTTTTTTGCCACTAGCCGAGAAGCGACGCGTTTCAAACTTAAAACATCAGTTAAAATGTGTTCGACCGATCCATACGAAATGCCCAACAACACTACAATCTCTCTAATGGGTTCACAACGATTTTCCAACACGATCTGCTTCGCCGATTCAATGTTTTCTTCAGTAACAGAAGTTGTTGGGCGGCTAGGGATCATAGTCCAAGCTTGTACGACTGTCTTTGAACCTTTTAAACCATTCATATACTCGTAGTTTCGACACACACAAATCACCAAAGGCTTTTTTTTACATTTTTTAACAGTTTCGGCACACTTAAATCCATTTGCAACACAAAATTTGATGCACGCACGTTGTTCTAACGTGCGTTAAATTTTGGCAGAATGTAATAATAGTGTTGCCAGCGTGAAAATAAAAATAATTTACCGATTGGATAAGCGCGGGAATTCAAAAATAGGCCTCTCGGTCTTTTTTGATCAGAAGGTAGTAAGAATTTAGTTTCTTTCGTCAAAATGGACGATAAAATTTAATTTATTTGTGCAATTAAATATAAAGAGACATTTTCAACAGTTCTAGTCAATACTCTCCTTGTCAGCATGTCTACACCAAATCTACGGAGACAGCTCCTCATCCTTTCACTTATACCATTGAAAAATCTCTTAAACTAAAGAAGTTTGATTATGACCTGATTAGCTCTAGAAGTCAGTTAGTAACTGGTAGATTTATTGAAGCAACTATGGATTTATCAACAGCACACAGACGGGTAAACTAGAAGAACACCCCAAGCGGGCGTACTCTCTTCTCTCCATTGGAATATGGCGTTAAATGAACTGCTACTGAAACTAATGATAGCGGGCTGCGAAATTATTGCGTATGCAAATTATGTTGCGTTAACTGACAATTAAAAAAAATACCACAGCATACAAAAGCAATACTGGGCTGACGAACCCTGCTGTCAGATATCGAGGTTGACCTGGTCTGATTTGGATAAAAAACGCATTAGTCAGATACTTCAACTAAGGTGGAAACTGCTCAGCATTACAGTATCTGTGCTGCAGGACACTGCATAATAGGGTGCGATGCTATGAGACTGGATCTACCCTATAACGGCTTTTGTTGCGGCTGTGGCTCTGAGTAAAAATAGGAGATTGTGCTCCATCTCAAGTGTCAGTGCATATCTTTAGCCAGGAGAAGATGAAAAATCTTCGGGGCGCCTTTTTTTCTGACGTGACCGATTTGTCATTCTGTTATATTAGGGACTATCAGACTATTAGAACTATCAGGTTGGGCTACCTTTACCTAATGGGTGAGTCCTGCCTTTTTTTGATGTGTGAACCAAAGCAAAGGCATCACAGTTTAATGAACAGCCTTAAACAAATCTTCCTGAACTGAACTGAACTCTGTAAACGTGGTGCTTAGAGTATCATACCATCCATTTTGGTAGACCAAATACTTCATTTAATCCCACTTGAAGTTATAAGTTATAAGCATCCTTTGCGAATGGACTTCTATATCACAGTGACTAATGACTTCACAGTGGAAAACTGTTGACAGGAAACTTAATGTCGATTTTCTGTCGAGATGACCATCATTAGTAGAGGTAAGTGGTGTAGTCAGTGAAGTTTTCTAAAAAGCTTTCCTAATCATTACTATTTTTTAGATAGGAAGATCGCTAAAGCTTCTCTGAGAGTAAATAATATTTAATAGGAATATATATTCACTCTATTAGACAATCAAGCCACTTTAAAGTCCTAAAGTATAGTCCAATTTGCATATATGAAGGTATAAGATTGTTACACATCTCGAAATGAAATGTCGACGCACTTCAACATTTCTCTGCTCTGGGTTATACAGACACAAACGACTCTTCCTCTTCTTGATTATTTGTTTTATACTGGCCCAGTTTAATCCAGGTTTGAGGGCCTGTAAAAGCAGTTTTTGATGCAGTTCCCAAAACTCTCCTGTCACCCGCAACCCAATAAAGACTTACCTTATTTCATGCTGCAAGTAACTGTAAGAGTTCGTAAAACTGGAAGACCTGCTTCGACTTGAAAATCCAAGAATTCAGAGGTTTAAGAGCAGCCTGTCTGTCAAAGTAAATATCAATTCTCGAGCCAGACGATTTTTTAACGATGTTGGATCTTACGGATGGCGGAGATTTCTGCCTGAAACATTGAGGTAGAGTCGGAGAGATAGTAGGATTTATACTAATCCTTAGGTCCATGGAAAAGATTCCGGTTCCAATGTGTATGTCAAACTTATATCCGTCTGTATATATTGCCATATTTCCTAGCGTTGTAAGCAACCCTACCTCGCATTCACCTCTTGAAAGAGTTCTGGTGGCAAAGCTATTGAGCGCGGTGGTGGGGTACGATCCCAATGCCCCCATTGCATCCACACAAGCAGATCTTTACAGTCTGGTTAGTCTTTGAACAATTTATTGTTTATTCATCGAGGGCTTCCACACCAGATATCCGTATGTTAAATTGGCGGAACGACGGCTATGTATAGCCAAAGAATCACTTTAGACTGCAATCTCCAGGTCTTACCATACATTTTTTTGCATGCATAAAAGGCCGCACATGCTTTGCAAGTTCTTTCGTTAATGATAAGCTTTGGCAATGGAAAGTTTGGAATTTTATATTTGTTGGTAAACAGTAACAGTTCTATCTTAGAAGCTTCTCCGCCTACGTCCATCTATTAAGATGACCCATTTTCTAAGATTCTGAAGAGCGCCTTCCACGAACCGAAGAGACCGTATCTGTTACTAAAAGAACTACATCGTCCGCATACGCCCCTGCTTTGATTCCATACTGATTAACTTACAAGCAGTGAATTCATTGTTATTATCCATAAGGGAGGAGATAACACTCCTCTCCAACCACGAGTTCCAAGCCAGTATCGGAAGAGTTCATTTTCATGACGTGTTTGTCAACCTTACCCGATAAAAAAGGCGCAGGGGACCCGAAGAAAATTAAACGAAAAAAGCGACCACCATAGCAGCGTCCCATACCATAGCTAGAGCACACTTGCTCCCCAAGGTGGTCATATATTGGAGAGGTTCCGCAAAAATACAGTCAGACAGACCTCTTGACTGCAAATCTACGCCCGGTGAGTACAGATCGCGTAACACTCTCGGGTTAAGGGGACCTTCATACCATGATCAAAAAGCATTGAGTAATGCAAAGCTATTGAAAAGCTAAGGACACTCACACAATTCGTCCTGATCTTAGCTGGGCATCGCCCCGAGAACGTACAGGACGAAAATGCTGTATGACCCATTTCGTGGAGGAAAAGAATTTTTGCTACCCGATCTATGTTATTTGTAACAGACTTCCTCAACACCTTGTGAAGGCGGGCCATTTGCGGAGTATTCTTAACGCTGTCACAGAAAGTTTTCCATGACCTCCGTTTGGATTTTCTAATCTCATTTTTGTACGCAGTCAAGGACGTCCTATTTTACCAAGCCTATTGTTCCACCATAGTACATCCCATCTGGATGTGTGTGGTGCAACCTTGTTTTAAGAAACAAGTTTTATTGCTTGTTTTAAGATGCAACTGAATCAATGTAGACTACAATGCATCATCTACGGCACGAAGAGGTGATACAAAGAGTCCTATGTTGTCCGTTAAAGTCTCTTTTGAATTGCTTTCATTGACCCTGTTCTGAGCCTCAATTGTGGCTAGGACCTAGGCTAGGGTTATGGTATTCAGAGTCACAACTGTGTGGGAAATATCCTCATAGCAGATGCTTCTTTGGAAACTTCGATTTCCCAGCTACTTTACCATCCACTTTGGCCTTAAATGCAATCGCCACAACATTTTTACGGACACTCAATCGTTTGGTCATTAGAGGACACCACCATTAGCCACGGAGCACCATGTACTATAACCAGTAACTTGTATGAAGCTTAGTTATTATTATTTTTTTTCGTTTATTATAAGTTACAAATTTGGCACAAAATCAATTTGTTCAAAGTTTTTTAGGAACTTCAGCTAAAGAAAAGACTTGTATGAATTCTGAATTTGAGTTGAATCTTTATTAAAAAAGATTTCTTATTAAAAAGTTATTTAAAGGATTAAAAAGAATATTTTTATCTACTATTGTTCTATTACTATGCTCTCCCTCTAAAAAGCTTCTTTAACTTTATCAAAGTTCAAGGTGGTTTTTAAAGTTTTGAGCTCCTTTTGGAAAAGAAGGAGTAGCAGTACAATGAAAGTTTTACCAAAAATTATGCAAATATTGAAATTAGGGAATACTATTATGTAAATGGCTTTTCTTATGATTTAG